CTTTTAAGGAAGTTAAACAAGGGGGCATCCCGGGTGGCTCAGCGGTTTAGCGCCGCCTTTAGCCCGGGGTGTGATCCTGGAGACCCAGGATCGAGTCCCACGTCAGGCTCCCTGAATACAGCCTGCTCCTCCCTCTGCCCGTGTCTCTGCCTCTCTCATGAATTAATAAATAAAATCTTTTTTTTTAAAAAAAAGGGAAGTTAAACAAGGAGAAAAACTACCTCCTTGTTGTTAACTCCTATTGCCCAAAGCTTCAGAAATAATATTTAACACATCAGATCAAATGCAATGTTTTGTTTTTTTTTCTCCCCTGAGCTTCCTTTGGTTTCTCACTCAAGTGCCAGTAAGTCTTTACAAAGGTTTAACATCCCGACTTACATTTTGGCCCATTACGTCTTGTTCTGGACCAGAAATTGACCCTTCTTGGGTTTAAAGTCTGATTCTCAGCATCTGCCTCTGCTTCCATTTCAGCTCCCTTTTGGTTCCCCTTTCTAATCTCTTAGGTCAGTTGGAAATGCCCTAAATCATGTTTCCATCAGACAGGAACATCCATTCTCACTCTAAATAGACTGAGAGAAAAAGAGTCAGGAGTGAGCTTCCAGAGCTATGTAAGTATGATCAGGAAGTCCAGGCCCTTATGCATCACACCAGGTCTTGAGTTCTGGATAATCATGGAGGACTTAGCATCTGTTGTTGCCCATCGGCACTCCCCCAGGAGAAGGAGGATCCTCCAAGTGAGATGAGGAGGAAAGTGCTCAGTGATCTTCGTATATTCCAGTTCCTCTGGTAGCTTCCTTTCCCTTGGTTCTTCTCTGAGGTCCCAGGGCACTGGTAGTCCTCCCAATTATCCTCCTGCTGGAGCTGCAATGTTGGTACAACGAGGGAGGATTCAGGGAGTAGAGATTCAGAGATTAGGAGAGTACCTGGGGCAGAGAAGCTGCTGGTGAGGTGGGGCTACTGTGCCTAATTTCATAGGGTTGTCTTACTTTCCCACCTGTCTTCACTATTAGCTACTAATCTCTGCGAGGGTGGACACTTGTCAATACTGTTTTGCTCACCACTGTAGCTGTAGTACCTCCCACAGTACCAAGCAGTGTTTAGTAAATGCATGCTAACTGAACTTCCCAAACTCCAAATCTTAACATATACAGGCAAGTGCCTAGAAGTTCTTCCTGGCATCAAAACACTGTTCTTTGACTACAAAGTGGGTTCAATCACTGCTTGAATCCTCATTGACCGTATTCGACCTTACCCACCAAACTTCTCAGTGATACAGATATAATTCTTTTTTTTTTGATACAGATATAATTCTTGTTTCATAGGAATGTTGAACATTAAATAAAGAATGAAAATAGTAGTAGCTTCTCAAAAAATGCTGGTTTATTGTTAGTTTTGTAAGCTCTAAGCTTACTCCCCTACCTACGCTGACCCAAGGTTTAGAGATAGGGGTCTGGGCACTAGAGCCTTATCCCTTTACGTCTTTGATTTCTTCAGAGTCCCCCATCTCTACACCCAGGGAATCACCATAGGCTTCTCTCCCAGCGAGGGTGGGGACAGTTGATACTCAAGGGGACTGGGCCAAGACTGACGGAGAAAGACACGAGGGAAATGGGAAGAGACAGGAGAGAGGCTGGAGGTAATGAGGGAGATAAGAACGGAGAAGAAAAAAAAAAGAACGGAGAAGAAAGTGTTAGGGAGGAAGAGATGGTCAAGAGAACTGGAGGAGAGAAGGAAGGGACAGGAGAAGAGCTTGGTAGGGGAGAAGAAATAAGCTTGAGAGTCGAACACTGGGTGGGGGGGGCAATGCAAAAGGAGTGGATGGAGGCTACAAAGTGAAAGGAGGAAGGTAGCTAAGCCTGGTGGGGTAAAGAGAGAGGATAGATAGAGAGAGAGGAACAAAGAAGGAGCAGGTAGTGCCACAGAGGGAAACAAGAGGCTTGAGAGAGTCCCCCCAACACGCACATAGGCCCAGCTCCCAAGGGGAGGGGTAGGAGCCACATCTGTGTTGGATTGATCGGCTTGGTGGCAGGCAGCAGGTCAGGTTTAGTAGGCGGTGCTGGTCTGGAGAGAGGTCATTGCACTATTTTCAGCAAAAGCCCAACCCCCTCCCAGCTCACCACCACCTCCTCCTCCACCCCCCCCACCCCCTTCCACTCTCTCCTCACCCAGGCTGGAAGGCCTAGGGGCAGGAGGTTGGGCTAAGAGGGCAGGGGCCTCTTGGTGTCGGAGAGGAGAGAGAAACTGAGGGGCTGGGCTTGGCTCCCAGAAGGGCAAGGGGGCTGGGTTCCCAGGATGAAGGCTGGGGTGGGAGAGCCCGAGAGGGTGGAGGGAACTAGGGCAGGCTCTGCAGCCTGGGGGAGGTGGGGGCTGGGGTCCAGGGCTGCGTGCGGGGGGAGGGGAGGAGGGGGAGGGGAGCGGAGGCCATCTCTGCTGACAAACACCTCCCCCGATTAGCAGAGCACAAGTCTCTTATTAAAGCGGGTCCCTGGGGATTAGACTATAAAAGTCTCTTTTTCCTTTTCCCCTCTCTCCCTCCCTTCCCCTCCGCTCCCCCTCCCTCTCAAAAGAGCTCGGCTTGGCTCTTAAAGGGGACGTACAGTACCTGGCTGGAGAGCCAGTTCCCCAGTTCTCCAAGTCCCCGAGAGGACTGAGGGCGGAGGTTCGCGCGGAACCCCACCCCCTGGAGCCCTTCCCGCCCCCCCAGCCTAACCCGCACCGCCGGGTCCCAGCACGCAGCCTGCACGCACTTCCTGCGCCCTCCCTGGGAGGCTGAGCCTGCCCGGCCGCGGCTGAGGGATGCGGAGGGCAAGTCCACACCGACAGCACCCGGCCTGAACTCCTCACACTCGGTCCCACACCCACCAGACTAGTTTTTCCTCCGGCCCTTCCTCTTCTTCCAGCAAACTCTTCTTCAGGATTCCTCTACAACTGTTTTGTAGGATCCCCACCCCCACCCAGGCCTCAGTCAATTTTAGACTGACCGTAGCCCCTCTAAGGTGGAAACCTAAGGAACACACGGGAGACGGAGGGACCCAGACGGATCCCAGGCTTTCACCATCACTGTCAGCGCCGCCAGCACCCTCAGCAAGTGTCCCAGCCCTTCGGGTTCTGTTTTCTTCCTAAGCCTGGCCAAGTATTGTGGAGTTAGGGTCTGCAGAAAAGCTGGTGGCCCTATGAGGCACTCGGCCTCCCAGACGCACACCTGGGTTCCCGTGCCTCTCCCACGGGGGTCAGCCACTAGGAGTCCACCTCGCCCCCAGCTTTTTATGACCTATCTGCCAATAAACCAGCCCCCCCTTCTGTTCAGAGCCATAAAACGGAACGGGGGGGGGCGACTTTGCCAAACCACCAGGGAATAAGAGAGGGCCTGGTTTCCTGGAGTTGGAGTGGAGAAGGGGTGAAGGGACCTCAGTGGGGGAGGGGAAAGGGAGTCATCTGACCCTAGGGAGAGCTGGGGGTGGGGTGGGGTGGGGTGGCCTGGATTTTCCAGGCCATAAAATTTCAAAGCGGCTCAAGTCTATTAACATGTTCATCTTCCGTTTGGCCGGGGGCTTGAATGCCTGGGTTCCCCGTCCCTCCTTATCTATTTCTTTCTTTTTCTCCCTAGGTCTCCCTGTGTCTCCTCAAGTCCGGTTCTGAGTAGGGGCGGGGGGACAGGAAAGGAAGGATAAGCTCTGAATAGCCAGGCGGGTGCCCTCAGCCCCAGCGCGATGGGACGGAGTTCTTTGAGCTCGGTCAGGAGCGAGAGGGCACGGCTTCCCAGCCCTTTGGGGGACCGGGTGTCAGAAGGGCTCTGGGTGAAATGGGTGCCCGCTGGGCCGCCGGGAGAGGCACGGGGTCGGGGACCTCGTTCCTGCCGGCGGGAGAGGGGCGCTCAGTTCTCTGCGGCCCGGGGGCGCGCTGCGGAGCCGGCGCTAGAGCGGGGGGAGCGTCGGCGCCAAGGCCGTGGGGGTCCCGGGGCGGCCCGACTCTGTTCGCCCGCGTCGGCACCGCGGCCCTGCAGGGCTGCAGCTCCCCCAGGCTCCCCGGAGCCCCGCGGCTTCCTTGCGCACCCGGGCTGCAGGCGGCGTCTCGCGGCCCCCGGGGCCCGCCCTCCCGCCTCCGGGAACCGAGTGTGCACGGGACTCCGCAGCCCGTCTCCGCCGCTCGAAAAACTTCGGTGGAGCAGCCCCCGCCCGCAGCCCGTCAAGTTTGCGCAGGAAGGGCCTCCGGGCCGGGGCAGCCGGAGCGGCCGGAGCGCCCGCGTCGGAGCCGAGCCGCTCCTTCCCGGCGCCCGCGCCCGCGCCCGCAGCCCACCGCTCGCGCCCGCCGCCCACTTACTCTCCTGGGCCATGCTGATGACAGTCTCGGTGGTGGCGTGGTACTCGTCCTCCTCCAGGAAGTCCTCGGGCTGCAGCGCGTCGCCCTGGAAGTCGTGCAGGTCCAGGATCTGCTGCAGCGGCGGCGCCTTGGGCAGCAGCTGCTTCACCACCTCGCGGCTGATGTTGGGCGCCTCCTTGAGCCGCAGTTTGCTCAGGATCTGCGACTTGATGCTCTCCAGGCGCAGCTCGCGGCTGTGCTGCCGCCACACGCACACGGGGCAGCCGTCGGGCTCCGGCGCCGCGGACGGGGCCGGCCGGCTCGAGCGCTCCCCCCCGGCCCCCGCCGCCGCCGCCGCCGCCGCCGCCGCCGCCGCCGCGGGGCCCTCGGCCGCCTCCCCCCGGGGCCGCAGCTCCAGGGCGAGGAGCAGGAAGCCCAGCAGCAGCGGGGCCGCGAGCACCATGCTGGAGGGGAGGGGAGGGAGGACTGGGGGGCGGGGACGCCGGAGTCCCGTGGGGAGGGGGCGGGGAGCGGGGAGGGAGGAGCGGGGGTCCGGGCGGCGCGGGACTGGGGCGGCCCGGCCGAGGGGGGGCCGGGGGGGCCGGGGGCGGCGGGCGCGCGGGCGGGGCGGGCGGCCGGGGCGGGCGGCTGGGGGGGCCCGAGCCCGGGCCAGGCCCTTTATAGCCCCGGCCCCCGTGTCGTCAGCGGCCGCGATTGGCTGCGGAGCCAACAAAAGAGGCAGCGCTGTCATCCGAGGCGAGAGAGGGAGCCGGAGAGAGCGGAGGAAGCGAGGGAGGAGGGCGGGAGCGCGGGAGCGCGGGAGCGCGGGCCCCGAGAGGGACGGGGTGAGGGCAGGAGGGGGCGCCGGGGGGCGCCGGGGGCGCCGGGCGCAGAGGGCAGGACACAGAGCAGGCGCCCAGGTAGGTGAAGAGGGGGGCGAGGAGGCAGAGACAAAGGGGGATGCGGGGGCGCCGGTGGGAGGAGACGGGGAGGCACGGGGCCCCGCAGCGAGGACGCGGGTGTGAGCGGCGGGACGCGGGGCGGGGCGGGGCGGGGGCGGCCCGGGGCGCAGAGACGGACCGCGCGGAGCCGCCGCCGGCCACTCGCGAGACGGGGACCCCGGCGCGCAGCCGAGCCCGAGAGCTCGGGCTGCGGGCGCGGGGGACAAAGCCCGGAGTCCCGGGGCCGAAACCTACAGGGAGACCTTGGCGCCGGGAGGGGGCCTCGCCCTGAGGCCGCAGCCGGGAGGGAGGGGAAGGCGGAGACGGGGGGCAGAGACTCGAGGGCAGGGAGCGAGCACCGGGCAGGGGGCCCAAGGGAAACGTCCACCGGCGCCCCGGAGGGCAGCAGGGGCCGGGCTCGGGGGAGCGCCGGGGCCGGGGTGGAAGGAGGGGCCTGGGGGCAGGAGGGACACGGGGCACGAAGGCCCGAGGCACCCGCGCGGGTGCGGGCAGCGCTGCGGAGCCCGGAGACAAAAGGAAGCCTCGGAGCTGGGGAGGCCGTGGGGAGGCCGAGGGGACAGGGGCGCGGGGCGGCCGTGTGGCCCCCGCAGGGACAGGGCCGAGGTCTGCCCTCAGGCGGGAGCCGCAGACCCCAGCTGCCGGGGGGGGGGGGGGGGGGGGGAGGAGCCCGGAGGTGGGGCGGGCCCCGGGCCCCGCGGCCGATGCTCCCCAGGTGCTTGGCTTCTGGCTCCGGAGTCCTCTTCCCGGGCCTCGGTTTCTTCGGGTTTATTGCTGGAACCCGGGGCCTGGAGGTCAGTCCACAACCAATAGGTTGAACATGCTGCGGGGGGATCAGGTCTGGCTTGCTCCCGGGGCGCGCACGTTCACCGAGGCTGTTGGGCTTCTCCGGCAGAAGGAAGAGACGCCGGTTCCTCTCTGGACTAGAGCCCAGGACCGTGTCTGCAGGCAGGCCCGAGGGAACAGCAGAGCGACAGAGTTGGCTGGGGAGCTGGGGGAGCTGGGGGAGTTGGGGGAGCTGGGGCGGGCGGCCAGGGCTGCAGCAGGGAGACCAGCAGGGCGAGGCGGGAGCTCTGAAGAAACCGACATTTCTCTGGAGAACGGGAACGAAGCCCGCGGCCCAGTGCGATGCATTGAGCCAGTCCCCTCCCTTGCTATGGGTGCACGCGGGCACCTCAACGTTGCATCCGATCTCATCTATAAAAAGAGTATCACACCGTCTCCCCTCAACTAGTTGTGAGGATTGCACAGTAGCCGATCCATAGTGGCCTTCCTGGGTTAGCTCTTCCTGATTTTCTTAAGATTTTATATATAGAGAGAGAGACCGACCCAGGCAGAGGGGGAAGCAGGCCCTATATAGGGAGCCCCATGGGGGACTCAATCCCGGGTCTCCAGGACCACACCCTGGGCTTAAAGCAGGCGCTAAGCCACTGAGCCACCCCGGGATCCTCTGCTCTTCCCGTTGCTTTTCTCTCCTTCCTCATCTCCTAGAGTAGTGATTGCCTTTACCACCGTTTCCCGGCATAGCCTGTTCTCCAAACGACTCCTCTGGTGGCATTTCCTCAGCAAAAGTGCAGACTCCTTGAGAGCAGAGGTGGCGTCACCTCCTTCGACTTCCTTGGAGGAGGTGGCCCAGCCTTCACCTCCTCACCAAGCTTGGTGTGTGTGTGTGTTTGTTAAAAAAGACTTTTATTTTTGAAAGGGAGAGGGAGACCCCCCACCCCCAAGTAGGACTCCTGGATCATGCCCCGAGCGAAGGCGGACGCTTAACCAACCGAGCCCCCGGGCTGCCCACCCAGCGCATTTCCAACAGTAGGCCTATGACAGATGCCAGGATGGTTTTCCTCAGGAAACGTTGAGACTGGACGGGACACCAGATAAAGGGTACCGGCCAAAACTTCAAGCCAGGTGCCTCCTTGATATTGCCATCTGGATGTCCCCTGCCACCTCAAACACTGTGAGTTCAATATGATAGAGAACTCCTTCTCTCTCCCCAAAATGTGTTCTCATCTTGCTGAGGCACATTGTCACCTTACTGAATGACAGTCATCCAGGCCAGAACCCTGCAGGTAGACTTCACCTGCTTTCTCTTGATCGTCTCTGAATCTTTGTATAAGCTGTTGCCTTTTCCTAGAACAACCCCCTCCTACCTCTACTGCCCCCACTCCCCACTCCCTTGGCCAAATTTATTCTTCAGGTTTCAGTATAGACAAGACTTTAGACACGAGTCTTCCTGGAGTCCATTGCTGACTCCACGCCTAGAGTACTTGCTCTTCCTAGCTACGCCTGTGCCCTTCTGTGTAGCAGGGAGGTTGCTCTCACAGAGCTTCTAGACTAGAGCAGGGCTGCCTGGGTTCCAGGTCCAGCCCTCCCACTTTTCTGGCTCTGAACTTGGCTCTGTCTGCCTCAGACTCCTTATCCGTAAGATGGGGACAACAATACTGTACCTATTTCATAAGGTTATGAGGATTAACTGCCTGACACACAATTCCTTCCCCCCCCCACACTCAATTCTAAATGAGGTCATTAGTCATTGCTATTCCCCCAATCTATCAGCCTTACAGCGTGAGTGGGACCCAAGAGAGCAGGACATTTTCCACCAAAGTGTTCCTTAGCTCCTTTGAATTAAGAATTAATGAACCCTGTTAACTGGATCTGGTCAGAGCCGGGTTGCGGAGAGAAAACTGGGTATTTATGGCCGTGAGGAGTTGTGGGTGTCTGCCCGACGCCAGAGAGCGGGAGTCGGGACCAGCTCCTGGGACAGAAAGGATTTCCGCCTCCGGGCTTCCCTACCAGCTCCAGGGCCCGGCTTAATCCAACGCGTGGACAAGGCTGCCATCTGGGGATCGCATCTGGAATTTGAGCTCCTCGGAGGCGGGAGTAAACCTGCCCCGGGGTGCATACCCAGCGTGTTTGCACTTGAGACTTCTAGTCCGAGAAGTTCTGATCAGAACCCGTTAAGCCTTGCTCCCGTCTGCGGCCCCCCGACACCCTGGCCCTTTCCTTCGTCCCTCAGGCTTGGTCACCGTTCGGTCCCCTGGGTTGCAGGATCTAAGCCCTGGGAGGTCTCTTCGGGGGCGTCGGACTTCAGCTGCCCCAGACCCGGTTCCCGAGGCGGTGCCCCGCGGGCTTCGCGGGGAGGAGCCGGGGGAGACCCGCACCTCTAGGTCCCTTCCCAGCCCGCGGCGCGGACGGGGGCTGGGGCCCTGGGGTCCCGCCCACTGCCCTGGTCGCCCCGGCAACCGCGGTCCGCCGGGGGTGCCCGCTCCCGCGTCGCCCGGGCAACCGCGAGGCCCGCCGCCTTCGCGGTCCCGACTGGCTCGCGGCAAATGTGGGTCGCGGCCGGAGGGGGGCGTCGAGGCGGGAGGCCGGCGAGCCGCCCGGAGGGACGCGGCCGGCGTCGGGGCCAGCGCGGGCGCCGCCTCGGAGGGGGAACCCGAGGCCCTGGGAGCGGAGCGGGCCGCCCGGGGTCAAGGCCAGCGACGCCCGGGTCACGCGGACAGCTGGGGACCGGGGGAGGAGGGCCCCGCCCCGCGCACCCCCGCGCCGCGGCCCCGGGGCCCCTCGGGCCGCCTCCGCTCGCCCCGGCCGCCGAGAGGTCCCGTTCTTCGGGTCCTTCCGAGGGGCGCGGGGGCGGCGCGGAGGGGCTTCCGTCGGGCCCGGCCCGGGGCTCCGGCCGCGAAGCCTGGGGCGCCGGGGGGACTCGTGTGCGCCCGGAGCCCCGTCATCCCCCGCGGGCCCCCCAGGGCCCGGGACCTCGGCCCCCGGAAGGCCGCACGGGGGCGCCGGCGGGCTCGCCTCCGAGGCGGGGTGGGGGGCGGCGCCGGCCCCGGAGCGCGGAACCCCTCGGGGCAGAGCCCCGTCGCCGCCGGCCTTCCAGGAGCCGCCCCCCTCCCGTCCTCCCGGGCAGGCCCGGCCCCCTCCCATGGGGCCTCAGCCCTCCCTCTCGGGTCCTGCCCCTGCCGCGTCTGCAGGCCCAGCGCGGGCCCGGGCTCCTGCGGGGGGCGGGGGCCTGCGCGGAGCCTGCCTCCCCCCCTGCCGGGGCTCCGGAGCCTGACGGCTGCCGGGTGAGGGCCGCTGCCTCGGGGCTGTTCGGAGGGAGGCTAATGGCCGGGAGACGGCGCGGGGCGGCGAGGACCCGGGGTGCTGCCGCGCGAGGGACCGAGGCGCGCGGCCCCGTGGGGTGTGGACCCGGGGGCGGGGCCTGCGGGAGGGGCGGGGCCCGCGGCCGCCCTCCCGGCTCCGCTCCCGGCTCCCCTCCGGCCCACCCGCTCCCACACTGCACTTTTTTTTAAAAAAACTTTTATTTATTTATGATAGTCACACACACACACACACAGAGAGAGAGAGAGAGGCAGAGACACAGGCAGAGACACAGGCAGAGGGAGAAGCAGGCTCCATGCACCGGGAGCCCGACGTGGGATTCGATCCCGGGTCTCCAGGATCGCGCCCTGGGCCAAAGGCAGGCGCCAAACCGCTGCGCCACCCAGGGATCCCCACACTGCACTTTTACCTGTGCCTAGGTTGCAATCACCTTGAAGGACAGCCAGGTTTTTTTTTTTTTAAGATTTTATTTATTTATTCACGAGACACACACACACAGGGAGCCCCACGCGGGCCTCGATCCCGGGTCTCCAGGATCACACCCCAGGCCGAAGGCGACGCTAAACCGCTGAGCCGCCCCCCCCCCCCCCCCCCCGGGCTGCCCCGCACAGCCAGGCCTTACTCATTCCAGAGTCCCGGTGCCTGGCACGTTCCGGCTTTCCACGACTGGATGGACGGATGCCCCAAGGACCCACACCCGAAGTAACCACCGCAACCCATCGTTGCCTCTTTTCATTGCTCCGATGGTACATCTGCTCCATCCTAGGGGAAAACTTAAGTGGAAAGATTCTCATTCTCAGGTGGAGACCCTGCCGCCTTGGGTGGCCCTGGATCAGAACCCCACAGCAGGGGTGCCTGGGTGGCTCAGGGGTTGGGTGTCTGCCTTCAGCCCAGGGCCTGATCCCGGAGTCCTGGGATGAGTCCCGCATTGGGCTCCCCGCAGGGAGCCTGCTTCTCCCTCTGTCTGTGTCTCTGCCTCTCTCTGTGTGTGTCTCTCATGAATAAATAAATAAATATATTTTTTAATAAATAAAAATCTTAAAGAAGAAAAAAAGAACCACATAGCAGCTGACCTCCTGGTGCAAGAAGATGCCATGGGATGGGGATGCCCGCCCTGCTTACACCGATCTGGGCACCTGGACTTGACCCCACAGGCAACAGTAAGGAGACTGGGACAGCAGCTGGACAAAGTCAGGAGGATAAGAGGCCAGAAGTCGGTCGGGGAGGGGGTGGTGGTGGCAAGGAGCAGGGCAGGGCAAGGACAGGGACAGAGCCCTGAGGCTGGAGCCTGGGCAGTGGGGGGTGGAGTGGGGTGAGAACCAGAGCTGGGCCCACAGCCAAGGCCAAGGTGGGAAGAGGGATGGAGAGAGGCTGAGCTGGCCCACCCAACCCTTCCCTTGGCATGGCAAGTGAACTGGAGTCCAGCTATTTCTCAAGGCAAAATTATTTTCATTCCTGGAACCCCAAACCGGGTATGCTAGAGCCTCAAGGCAACGAAAGCTTAGGGTAACAAAACTGGTCCCCTTAATTCCTTGGTCTAGCCTTAGAAGTGTCCAGTGATGTAGGGCCCTGGGAGGTGTGGGAGGGAGTAGTTTCCCTCCTGCTTAACTGGGAGGAAGCAGAGGCTCAGGAAGGTGAAAGTTTAGCCGAAGTCACCCCATTCTTGCCAAGTAGAGCATGGGGGGGGGCACCAGGGCTGCGGCCTCCACCTGGGGTGAGGGGTGCACACCCGGAGTCCCAGTGTCGCTCACCTGCAGGCGCCCCAGAGCCTTGTTTTCCTCGCAGGGGGGATGTAAGGTGACTGTGCCCTGATGCTGTTCTCTGGGGTCCTGGGGCGCTGTGACCTGTCCTGCCCTGGCGGCTGGGGGAGGCCGAGAGGGCCGCCCCGGGGACGCTCGGCAGGGCGGCTCTGGCCTCGGCCCTGGGCTGATCTAGCCCTGCAGTCGGGGAGCTGCCAGCCAGCACCCGGGCCTCCCTTATTGGATTTATTTGTTTGTTTAAAGATTTATTTATTCATGAGAGACACAGAGGGAGAGAGGCCGAGACACAGGCAGAGGGAGAGGCCGGCTCCCCGCAGGGAGCTCAATGCTCGATCTGGGTCTCCAGGATCACGCCCTGGGCCCAAGGCGAGCGCTCAACGGCTGAGCCACCCAGGGATCCTTCTCCAGGACTTTTCCATCTCAAACTGAAACCCACTGATCACTGACTCCCCATTCTCCCCCCCCCCCCGCCCCAGTAACCACCTTTCCACGCTCATCTCTGTGGATTTGACGAGGCACGGGGCATGGGCTTTTGCCCTCCGGCCAGGTGCACACTGGCTGAGGGTGCGGGTGTCCCCGGCCCTACCGTCTTCCCTGCACCGTCCTTTCTCTCCCATTGCTGCCACCGCTGCTGCCACCGCTCTGTGCTCCCCCAGGTTCCTCTCACAGGCCCCCCTTCTCCTGACCTTCACCCCAGCTCTGCACTTGCCCACCTGGATGTCTCCATTTCCCTCTCCTCCCTTCTTGGGCGCAGCAGGTGCTCTGGATCCTGCCCTGACACCACTCTGAAGGCCACCCCATCCAATGGCCTTCTCTGTTTCTCACTCAAGTTGACCTTTCTGTATTCCCGGTGCTCCTGGCCTGAGCAGGCCCCTCCTCCTGTCCTGAAGTCCTCTTTCCTCTTGGCCCCCGAGAGAGCTCAAGAACACAGGCTTTGGAACCCTCAGAGGTCTGGGTTCCAATTCTAACACTGCCTTTACTGGCCAGACTTTGGGCGTGTCATTGTGTGTCTTGGAGTCTCAGCTTATCTCTAAAGTGGGACAAATCATTCAGATCTTGAAGGTTGTCCCGAGGGGCAAATGAGCTAATATGTATAATGCCAGTACCGAGCCTGGGGACCCAGCTCTGCAGCCCCCTTCCCCTCGGGCTCCCTTACAGGCTACTGACCCCTCCCACATGTTCCTGGGATGGAAGGGTTCCCCGAAGCCCTGTCTTTGTTTTTCTCTCTGGCTCTGGCCCTCACGCATCTATGAATTTACATATCACTTTTCCTCCCTAGTCTGACTATCTCTCTCCCAAAGAGTTTCACATCCCCAGTGGGTGCCTCCTGCCTCGGGTGACCACCACCTTCTCCCCTGGGCACCCAAGTTCAGAAGCTCTGAGTCATCTCACACTTTTCCTACTTCCTCTCACTTCTACAGGTAAGAAGTCATCCAGTCCTTTGTTTACCCTCTGAAATGCTGCCCAGACTTCCCTTCCTTCCATGGTTCCAGCCTCCATCACCTCTTCCTTGGATGGTGGCTGTGCTGTCTCAACAATCTCCTGGGCCCCCTGATAGTTCTTTTGTTTTCTTTCTTTTCTTTTCTTTCTCTTTTCTTTTCTCTTTTTCTTTTCTTTCTTAAGCAATCTCTACATCCAACATGGGGGTTGAGCTCACAACCCTGAGATCAAGAGTTACCTGACTGGGGAGCCTGTGTAGCTCAGTGGGTTAAGCATCCAACTCCATCTCAGCTCAGGTCATGACCTCAGGGTCGTGAGATTGAGCCCTGCATGGGGCTCCCTGCTCAGCGTGGAGTCTGCTTGAGATTCTCTTTCCCTCTCCCATTCATGCTCTCTTCCAAAAAAATAAATCTTTAAAGAAAAAAAAAAAGTCCCATGCTCTTCTGACTGAGCCAGCCAGGTACCCGCCTCCTCATTTCAATGTAGGTCCAACCCCAAGATAATTTACCCTCTCTGAAACTCCCCACCGCCTTTATTTTTTAAAGATTATTTATTTATTCGTGAAAGACAGAGAGAGAGAGAGAGAGACAGAGAGAGAGAGAGAGAGAGAGAGAGAGAATGTTAAGCAGGTTACACACCCAGGGCACCTGGTGCAGGGTTCAATCTCATGACTGTGATCATGACCTGAGCTGTTGAAATCAAGAGTCCAGTGCTTAACCGACTGAACCACCCAGGCGCCCCAAGACTCTGCTTTTTGCTTCATCTTTTGTTCTGTGAAGTATTCCCCCTTTTTTAAAAATATTATTTATTTATCCACAACAGACACACAAGGAGAGAGAGGCAGAGACACAGGCAGAGGGAGAAGCAGGCGCCACGCAGGGAGCAGGCCTCGGGACTCGATCCCGGGACCCCGGGGTCACGCCCCAGGTTGCAGGCGGCACTAGAGACGACATTTCATTTTTTTTTAATTTTTATTTATTTATGATAGTCAGAGAGAGAGAGAGGCAGGCAGAGACATAGGCAGAGGGAGAAGCAGGCTCCATGCACTGGGAGCCCGATGTGGGATTCGATCCCGGGTCTCCAGGATCGCGCCCTGGGCCAAAGGCAGGCGCTAAACCGCTGCGCCACCCAGGGATCCCGACATTTCATTTTTAAATACTGTAGTGTGCACCTTTTAAAAAATAGAGTGATTTTCCTCTCTAATCATGCTGTCATCGTAGCTAACAAAATTATGGTTTCTCACGTCTGATTCTCAGTCCATATTCAGATTTCCTCAGTTCTTCCCCAAATGTCTTTCCCAGTTCATTTGTTGCAACAGAGATTCAGCCGAGGCCAAGCACTGCCGTGGGCTGTTCCATGTCTGAAGTTTGCCACGCTCGGCCGCGGACCTCTCCTGACCCTTGGAGCTGGCCAATCCCGCCTGCAGGGACTTTCGAAGCCCCCCTTTTTACACTGGCTCTTTCCTTGTCTCTGGAAACCAGAGCTTGTTTATTCTCTGAAGTCCCCTCAGGGACTGCCACCCACTTTCGTGGTGCAAAGGGGTTTCCTTCCCCTCTGGGGCAGACGCACCGCCCGCCGCCCCCGAGAGCGTCCACCAGCCACCGGGAGGCCACGGGTGTCACACGGGGGTCCGGTCCCCGGGCTGCGGGGCCCAGGCCGAGCCCTCTCGGTTCCCGGGCGTCGAAGCGCCTCCTCGGCTCCTCGCGGCCTGCCCGAGGGAGTGAGGAGCCAGGCCCCCAACGCGCTTGCTCACCTCGCTGCAAGCTTGTGGCCCTGGAAACGGGTTCCCAGCGCGGCCCCCATCGCTTGCCTTTTGCTCTTGCAGTTTCTTGCCTCTTGGGGTACAGAAGACTCGGGAAGCGGTTGAGTCAGGACCTAAGACCCGACGGGGTGGGACCCGGCCGCGGAGCGAGCGCGGATTCTCGGGGGCACTCCGGCCTGGGAGCCACGGCGCGCTGGAGGGGCAGCTAGGGGACAGCTGGAGGGGGCGCAGCTGGACGTGGGGCAGCTGGAGGCCGCAGCAGGAGGACACAGATGGATGGGGCACCTGGAGGGGGCAGCTGGGGGGGCAGCTGGAGGCCGCAGCTGGGGGAGCAGCTTGAGGTCGCAGCTGGAGGGGATAGCTGGAAGCCGCAGCTGGAGGGGGCAGCTGGGGAAGCAGCTGGAGGCCGCAGCTGGAGGGAGCAGCTGGGGAAGCAGCTGGAGGGGGCTGCTGGGGGAGCAGCTCGAGGGGATAGCTGGGGGGCAGCTGGAGGCCGCCCCCGGACGCCGCCCCCGCCCCTTCCCCCGCCGGGGCTGCGAGCTGCTGCCCGCGAGGCCGGGACGGGCACTTGCAGAAGGCAGAGGCCTGCCTGCGCAGCCTCCCCAGACCGCGGACGAGCCCGGCGCGCCGGGGGCACAGAGGCGTCAACCGCCCCTAGAGGGGAGCGCCGGCTCCGAGGGCCTCCTGCGGTGCTCAGCGCCCCCCCACCCCCCCGCAGCCCGGAGGCCGGGCCGGTACCCACAGGCGAGGCAGGGAGCCCGCTGCAAAGGTTGGGGGACTCCCGGGATGTGAGGCCAGGGACTTTCTGGAAGCTTTTTCCCGACCGCCCGCACCCGACGCCAGGGAGCTCGCAGCGCCCTCTGCCGGCGCGGGCGGGGGCTTCAGCCGGGCCGGAGCGGGGCCGGGGGCGGGGGCGCCTCCCGAGCACCTCCTGTCGCGCAGCCCAGCCCGGCGGCTCGCACTGTAACCCGGTCCCGGACCGCACGGAGTCGGGGGCCGCCGGTCCCGCCCTCCCAGCCCAGGGGCCCCGCGGCCCAGCCCCGCCGCCTTCCGTCGCGGGGGGGCGCCTTCCGGGCAGGGGCCACGTGGCCCTGGCGGGCGGGGGGCTCGGCCCTCCCCTCGGCGGCCGGGTGACTCAAGCCGCAGCTGTTCCCGCGTCACGAGGGAGGCCGGCGGCCCGGGCGGAAGGGGGGCCGGGGCTGGAGCCGGGGCGGGGCCGCGGCGGGCGGGCGGGGCGCAGGCGGGGGGCGCCGCTAAAGAGCCCGGGGCGGCGGCGGCGGCGGCGGCGGGAGAGCGGAGCGCAGCGTCGGGGAGCCCAGGTGAGGCCGCGGGACCGGCCTGCGTGCGGGCGGGGTCCGGGGTCCGGGGGGTCGCGGGCGGCCGCCCCCGCCGCGGCTCGGCCCGGAGCCCAGGGCCCGCCGCGCTCCCGAGCCCTCGCCACTTTGCAACTTCGCGAAGTTCCGGAGGCCCCGGCGGCGGCGGCGGCGGCGGCGACGACCGTGCGCGGGGAGCCGGGAGCGCGGGGTCGGGGGCGGGGGCCCGGGGCGGGGGCGGACTGCGGCCGGGAGGGCGCCCTGGGGCCGGGGCGGGGCGGGGCCGGGCGGGCGGGCGGCGGTCGCCGCCGCCGCTCTCCGGCCCGGGAGGAGAGGGGGCTGGGGACGTGGCCCCGACCGCGGGTTTCCGGGTGGGAGGGGCCGGGAACGGGGGCCCCGCCGCCCCTCACCGGCGCCCCCCCGCAGGCCCGCAGCCATGGCGGTGGAAGGAGGAATGAAGTGTGTCAAGTTCCTGCTCTACGTCCTGCTGCTGGCCTTCTGCGTGAGTGCGAAGGGCGCCCTGGGGCCCGGACGCGAGAGGACGAGCCGGGGGCCGCGGCGCGCCCACCGCCGCAGCTTTCGGGGACCTCCGAGGCGGTGCGGACCCAGGACGGACGGCGTGGGCGCGCCGCACCCTCCCCCTCGCCCCTTCTGGCCCTTCCTGTCCGGTGACCCAACCGCTGTGATACTGGCAGTGGGGCAACCGGCCAACGGCCGCCTGATGGCTATCGCCGCGGGGGCCCCCTCTCCCCCGCACCCCGCCTGCCCTGCCCCTCACCCCCTCGTTCCCTGCTCCCCGGGCTCCTGTCGGCTGCCGGGGGGGTGGGGAAGGCCTCTGCCCACCTCGGTTTGCTCCCGTCCTGGCCTCCCGGCCTCACACGCTGCTCTTTGTCCGGGGAGGGGCCCCACTCGTGCCTCTGCTTCTTGTCCCCTCCGCCCCCGGCCTAGTGGCCTGAGGAAGCCCGGTCACAACTGATGAGGGTAGGGCGGGCCGGGAGGCAGCGGCTGGGGCGCGCCTGGGCGCCCTAGAGGCCCGGAGGAAGTACCACTCTAGGTGAGGATATGTGCCCTGGGGTCAGAGCTTTCTGGGACCTTCTCTGTTGGCATTTGATCAAACTGTGGGGGCAGATACGGGTCGTCCTCCTTCCCTGCAATCCTTCCTGGAGGCGCGCGAATCGGTCCCCCTGGGGTGGGGCTACGCCTGCGCCTCGGCGTACCTGCTGCCCACTGCGCGGAGGCCTGATGGCTGGTGGGCCTGGCCTAACCCTGACCTGTCCTCACAGGCCTGTGCGGTGGGGCTCATCGCCGTGGGTGTAGGGGCCCAGCTGGTCCTGAGTCAGACCATTGTCCAGGGGGCCACGCCTGGCTCCCTGTTGCCCGTGGTCATCATCGCAGTGGGCGCCTTCCTCTTCCTGGTGGCCTTTGTGGGCTGCTGTGGGGCCTGCAAGGAGAACTACTGTCTTATGATCACGGTGAGCCGGGTGTGGGGCCGCTGTGGGTGCCTGGGCCTGCTGGGAGGCGCTTCTAGGGAGGGGGGGATCCAGGGGCGAAGTGAGGCAGGTGGGGGAAGAGAACCTCTCTGAGTGGGCTAGAGGCCGGCTGGGCCACAGCAGGCCACTCTCACCGGGACTCCACACCTGACCCCTGTCCGCTGTGCCCGCAGTTTGCCATCTTCCTGTCTCTTATCATGCTGGTGGAGGTGGCCGCAGCCATCGCTGGCTATGTGTTTAGAGACAAGGTAAGCGGGGAGGAAGCGGAGGGCCCTGCCTCACAGGGTTGGCTGCTCTGGGACGCGCGTGCCCTAAAGTCTGACCCCCATGATGCTCTTTACTGCTCCCAGGTGATGTCAGAGTTTAATAAGGACTTCCGGGAGCAGATGAAGAATTATCAGAAAAACAACCACACGGCTTCGATCCTGGACAGGATGCAGGAGGATGTGAGTGAGCTTGCTGGGAGCGGCTAGCGGGGAGGAAGAGTCTCATCTCCGTGTCGAAGGCGGAGGTTCAGGTAACAAGCCCCTGCCCTGTATTTCTCTCATCCTGCAGTTTAAGTGCTGCGGGGCCACTAACTACACAGACTGGCAGACCGTCTCTCTCATGCCCAAGGGCCAGGTCCCTGACTCCTGCTGCATCAATGTCACGAAGGACTGTGGGATTTCTTTCAATGTGAAGAATATCTACTCTGAGGTGGGGAAGCAGCTGAGATAGCAGGGGACTGGGAAAATGTTTCTAGGGTTGAGAGGGCCCAGGGATGGAGGTGGAGAGGGTTGGGGCCCTGGGATGCGGAGGGCATCTGGGAACACTAGCAGTGGGGTGAACGGTGCAGAGCGGGGGAGAGCCAGATGGAGCAGAGGAGGTGGGTGGGAAGTTTCTGACTCTGTTCTCGCTTGTGTGCCCACCGCCCTTCAGGGCTGCGTGGAGAAGATTGGGGGCTGGCTGAGAAGCAATGTGCTGGTGGTGGCTGCAGCAGCCCTGGGCATTGCCTTCGTGGAGGTGAGAGGCCCCCTTGGGACTCATTCTGGGGCATCTGGGCAATTGGGGCAGTGGGAGGAGGGTGCTGGGGAAGTCCTGGCCTGGGGCCCCTGTGGCCCCTGGTTGTGTTTGGGGTCTCCTGAGTGGGCCTGGGATACTTTGCCTTTCTGACTCCTCTGTCTTTGCTTTTAGGTACTGGGAATTGTCTTCGCCTGCTGCCTTGTGAAGAGTATCCGAAGCGGCTATGAAGTCATGTAGGGGTCTGGTCTCTTCAGCCCCTTCATCTAAGGGAGTGGGATAGTACACTCCAGGTTTTTCAATTAAACGGATTATTTTTTCAGACTGAAAAAATAGTCTCAGTTTGTCTCGAAGAGTGATACTTTATCCTTTCCTGTTCACCCGTATTTGTTCTCTGGGACCTTGTTCTATATGCACCTTGGGAAAGAAAGGCTTATTTTTTTTTTTTTTTTGGGGGGGTGCTGTTTAGGAAAGGTGGATTTCGCTAAAGGCATTGGTGGGCTGGCAGTCAAAGTGGGGACCTGGAGGAGGCTGGCCCAGTACCCTCCCTGTCTCGTAGGCATGTGCCGCAACGTGCAGGAAGCCACCTGCTGCAAAAGTCAAAGGGATTCCCCCCAGAGGTGCTACCTGGGAGAGGTGAGCCCAAACCTACATCTCTCCCCTCCTATTCTGGCCATCTCTGAGGGCCTAGCAACTCTCTCCAACAAAGGGGGCCTGGCTCCTTTGTGGGTGGTGAGAAGTTGTGTCCATCCTTCTTAGAGGACAATGTAGGGGCTCCTGGGTGGCTCAATCAGTTGGGTGTCCGACTTTTTTTTTTTAAGATTGTATGTATTTATTTATGAGAGACACACAGAGACAGAAGGGCAGAGAGAGAAAGAAGCAGGCTCCATGTGGGGAGCCTGATGCGGGACTCCAGGATTAGACCCTGGGCCAAAGGCAGGTGCTAAACGGCTGAGCCACCCAGGGATCCCCTGAGCTTCCAACTCTTAACTTTGACTCAGGTCAGGATCTCAGGGTTATCTGACTGAGCCCCATGTTGGGCTCCTCACTCAGTGGGGAGTCGGCTTGAGTTTTCTCTCCCTCTGCCCATCCCCTGCTCCTTGGACTCCCTCTCAAATCTTAAAAAACAAACAAACAAACAAAAAAAAAACACAAGGATAATTTAAGTGGGTATTGCCTTTTGTTTTTCCCCCATGGAAACCACCCAGCCTTGCCCTGACCCCACTTTACCACCTTCCCTCCCTCCCAAGAAAAACAGGTAAGGCCACCGGCACTCCCAACAGTGAACTGAAAGGAAGTGAAACGTCCACCAGTGCCCTCTGATGGCCATTCTTCCAGGTGTAGCTACAAAGAGCGCCTGCAGACAGGCGGTCAGAGGGGAGGGGAGGGCAGATGCTCAGTGGTTGCTGGTTGTTTTGCACGTACTAAACGGGCCAGAGACCCTGGGCAGGAAGTCAGCCTAAGGGATAGCTCTCAAATGGGGCCAGTCTCTCACCAGGCAACTTCATTTCTGTCCACCTACGGTGTTTTCTTTTTTTAACAATACACATTTATTGAGTGCTTATTTTGTGCGGGCCACCAGGCAGTACCAGGGTGGGGACAGAAAACAATCTCTTGCTGGACAGCTGGATTCAGTAGACTGCCTGGGCAGGCTTGGGAAGGACCCAGGTGAGCACAACATCCACCAGGCTGGCTGGCAGGTAGGAGGCTGGCAGCCAGAGCAGCTTGGCATCCCAGCCTGGGCTGTACCGGGTTCTGGGGTAACGAGCAGTCAGGGCATGTTCCAGGCACCTGCTCACCTTGGTCAGGTCTGGGTCACAGATCAGGCTCATGATGTGCTGCTGCACTTGCAAGTCTACATCCCAGGAGGTAGTTGTAATCAGTGTCCCTGCCCATTCCAGCCCATCTCAGGCCCCACCTTCTGGGTCCTGGAGCTGGTCCCCAGCAGTGAGAGGGATCCTTAGTCCCTCCCCAGTGTGGTAGGCAGGCAGGTTTCATAGTCTGAGTGTTCGGTGGCATCCCATCGACCCCCACCTTCTCCCAGCAGGCTGGTGTAGGAGGGCCTTTCTGACATTCTCCTTTCCCTTCATATACCCGTGTGGGCCCCGATACTCACACTTGGGAAGAAAGGCCTCCCCATAGTGGGCCTGTGTGCTGGGAGGTAGCCGTGCCCAGCACTCCTGCAGCGAGTTCTCCAAATGCTCCAGGTTTGTCACAGGGGTTCGGAAGAAGCCAGGCTCCACGATGGAGACTTGGACCCCAAAATGAGCCACATCCCGCCTGGATGGGGAAAGAGGAAGGTTTCTGGGTTCTTGCCCTTATAGGAAAGGGACATGAGGCTGGAGGCTAAGATGGGAAAGCTATCACAGGCCAGGGACAGGGGTCCTGAAGGTGAAGGGGATCCTTGCTGTCCTCGGAGGGGGGGCAAGTGACCAGTTATTTTTGAGTTTTTTTTTTTCTTTCTTCATACTCTATGATCTAGAACAGAGATCAGTACCCTTCTTAAAGGGCCAGACAGTAAATATTTTTGGCAATGCAGGCCTAAAAATTAGTAACGGGTAGGTACTTACATAACCATTTACAATGTAACCATTTAAAATGTAAACACCAGGTGCACCTGGGTGGCTCAGTACGCTGGGCATCCAACTCTTGACTTTGGCTTGGGTCGTGATCTCGGGGTCAAGGGATGGAGCCTTACATGGACTTTCCTTGAGATTCTCTCTCCTCCCTCTGCCCCTCCCCCCATGCGCACCCAGGCACATGCGGTCTCTCAAATAATCCTTAAAAAAAAAATGTGGGGGGATCCCTGGGTGGCGCAGCGGTTTGGCCCCTGCCTTTGGCCCAGGGTGCGATCCTGGAGACCCGGGATCGAATCCCACGTCGGGCTCCCGGTGCATGGAGCCTGCTTCTGTCTCTGCCTCTCTCTCTCTCTCTCTCTGTGACTATCATAAATACATAAAAATTAAAAAAAAAAATGTGGGCAGCCCGGGTGGCTCAGTGGTTTAGTGCTGCCTTCAGCTCAGGGTGTGATCCTGGAGACCCGGGATCGAGTCCCACATCGGGCTCCCTGTAGGGAGCCTGCCTCTCCCTCTGTGTCTCCGCCTCTCTCTGTGTCTCTCAAGAATAAATAAATAAAAAAAAATGTAAACACCATTAGCTGGTAGGTGACTGGCCAGATTTGGCCTGAGAACCGGTTTGCCAACTCCTGACCTAGAACCCCATTCCCTAGTCCTAGAACACAGGGTTGAGTCCTGAGTGCTCAACAGGAAGGGTGTAGACTGGTATTTGCTGGGGAGCCTGCAGAGACACATTCAACCCCCCTGACATGGATACAGAAATCCAAGTATGAAGCATGTGTTCATGATGTTGATAGTTAAAAGACCAAGGGATAGGGACAAAAGCACATGACTGAAATTCTTTGTTGAGTGATGGGGATGAAGGCAGGTTTCCTACAGAAGATGGGGTGGCTGGGGGGTACTTGCACTGTTCAAAATTCAGGCCCTGCTCCCATGTGTTACTTGCTAAGAGTCTTTTGTGCTCATGGGACTTTGAACATTATTGTTTAAAGATGAAGGACAGGGGCACCTGGGTGGCTCAGCAGTTGAGCGTGGAGTCCCAGGACCGAGTCCTGCATCGTGCTCCATGTGGAGCACCTGCTTCTCCCTCTGCCTGTGTCCCTGCCTCTTTCTCTGTCTCTCATGAATAAACAAAATCTTAAAAAAAAAAAAAAGAAAAAAAAAAAAAAGATGAACGGCAGGAGAACATAAAGATGAGGGGCAAACAGACCTGGGAGTAAGTCCCAGCACTTCCACCAACTAGTTGTGTGGTCTTGGGTAAGTTACGTTACTCTGAGGATATTAATGCCTATCCCTTAGAGGGCTGCTGGGAGAAATAAATGAGAAAAATGTTCTGTAAAGGTACTAGTTCATCACAAAAAACAGTTATTAATAACACTAGGGGCACCTGGGTGGCTCAGTTGCTTAAGCATCTGGCTTTGGCTCAGGTCATGATCACAGGGTCCTGGGATCCAGCCCCGGATCAGGCCTCCTGCTCAGCGGGGAGTCCACTTCTCCCTCTCCCTCTGCACCCGCTCCCCTGCTCCCCCACCCTCTCTCTCTCTCAAAAAAAATTACTAATAATGATAGCAGGGCTTCTTGGGGCATCTTCTATGTGCCGGGCTCTGTGGGGGCCTTACAGGTACTTCATGTCACTCCCAGCACCCATGAAGCAAGTCTCCTCATCCAGATTTAGCAGATGGGGAATAAACTGGGGTAAAGAGAAGTAACCTATCAAGGTCGCAAAGCTCCCATGAGAGGAGGCTGGGGTTGAACCCATGAAGTTGAGCCCTACGCTGTCTCCTCCTCAGCATCCCACTACGCTGTTTCATCATCTCTGCAGGGCTGCCCAGGGCTCTGCACCCCTCACCTGAGGCTATCAGAGAAGGCCTCCAGGCCAAACTTGGAGACACAGTAGCCACCACCATTGGCTGCCAGGCGGCCCAGGACACTGCTGATGTTGACCACTCGGCCCCGGGCCTGCTGTAGGAGGGGCAGCAGGGCAAGGGTGACCCTGATGGGACCCAGTGTATTCACTTTAAGCACCCGATGGAAATCATCCTCTGTGAGCCACGGGGTGGGCCCAATGATCCCTGCCACACCAGCGTTATTCACCAGACCAAAAAGCCCTGTGGAGAGAGGAGACACATACCATAGGGTGGGTAAGACATTCTGGCAGAGAGAGAGAGGCGCAGAGGGAGAAAGCAGCAGGCTCCATGCGGGGAAAACTCTAGTTTTCTGATGCTCTGTGTCTGGATCGTGTTCCTTCCCCACCCACGCCCTCCAGGTTCCCATTGCCCCGTGACCGAGCACCCTGCACCACAGTCCTGGGGCCCCGCCCACTACTCACCTGCTTCCCCGACATGTGTTTCCACCCACTTGGCTGCCCGCTGGACACTTTGGGGCTCAGTGACATCAAGCAGGGTGGTGTGGAGGCGGGAGGAGGCCACCTGCTGTAGGTCCTCTGCCCCCGCGGGGGTCAGGCAGCTGGCCAGGACTCGGAAGCCTCTCTGGTCCAGTCTCAGTGCCAGAAGCCGCCCGAAGCCCGAGTCACAGCCGGTGATGAAGACGAAAGCATCGCTGGCAGGCAGGCTCTGCTGGTCCCTGAGCCACCACAGCACTGCCCAGAGCAAGACTCCCAGCAGCAGAGGCAGCCACATGGCAGAGCCCGAGTGACCTGCAGGTGGCAGCCGAGGCTGGGCAGGAAGACTTGTGTAGTTCATGCTGGCTCTTAACTCCTTGCCCCTAACAGCCTCCCCAGCTGGAGGTATGATCTGAGCAGACTGAGAAATTACCTGCCTGGTAGGTAACCGGCAAACGATGTCTCACCTAAGCAAAGCTCAGCTCTAGGCAGACCCCGAGTGTGTGGCGACCTTAACTAAAGCCAGAGTCACCAAGGCCTGTGTGCAGACGTGCTGCACAGGAGCAGAGGAACCTGGTTTGCTGTCTCCCCTCCCTGGTAAGCCAGAGGCATCTAGACTCTAAATGTAAACCGGGCCTTCTCTTTGGAAACACGTACAGGGCAAAGAGCCCTGCACCTTAGTCCTGTTGGCTCCAAACTTACTGCGTGATGCTGAGTATCTCACTGCATGTCTCAACCTGTTTTCTATTCTAGCGGCGGGGCTGACACCCACCATGGCCCCCCTAGGAGCTGTGCAGGGTCAAGGGGAGAGCGTGTGAGGAAGCACATGAAGAGCTTACGGCTTTGAATTATCAATCGGTGTGATCCCAGGAGAGCCCCCTCAGAGCCCCCGGCTCCCAGTGTCCTGCTTACCTCCCGAGGAGAGCTAGCAGGCAGGATGGTGCCTGAAGCTTCTTCTTTTGCTTCGTTGACAGACTTTGCTCCCAGTCTTTCCGGGCTTCCACGCTAGCTACAGCTAATGCCAAAGTCCACAGCGGGTGGCCTGGGTCCCAGAAGTATTAAGTGTATGTGTGGGGGGGGGGGCCTGGGAGGAGGAGCCAGGGAAGCTGGAGCCTGGCAGCTGAAGCCCAGGCTTGGTGCAGGCCAGGCGTGCCCAGGCCCCCTTCCTGGCTGTCTCTTCTAGTCGGGTGCCCGACTGCTTCTGTCATGGACTACCAGGAGGAGGGATACGTCAAGGACGATGGGTGCCCCCTCTGTTGGTGACCTTGGCCCAGTCACTCCTCCTTCCAAGCCCCAAAGTGCCCCCATGCCCAAGAATTAACCTCCAACCTGGTCCGGACTCATGACACTGCTTAGGACCAGGCCGGGAGAGGGCACGAGCACGTGGAGCGGCAGAGAGCCAGAGCCAGGACCACGCCTGCCTCCTGTCATGTTTCTGCTCTGCAGGAAACTGAAGTCCTGAGTTAGGAAGCTTGGGGCAGGGCCCACTGACCTTCTCTGGGGAGGTGTGGGAAACTTCCACCCTCTGCCTACCCAGCATGCACCTGCCCCAGGCCGGAAGAGAAAAAGGGGTGCAAGCTAGTTTCACCCTTTACCCAAAAGGTAACTGTCACTTGGGTAAACAGTCTTCGAATCTTCCACTCCTGCCTACCCTGTTGGTCTAGCAGAGCTTTGAAACACACCACAAAGAAATGGGGGCTTGTGTTTTATTCTTGGCCTATCAGCTTCCCCCAGGTAGGAGGGACGGGGTGGGGGGAAGGGAAGAGGGGCTAGGAGGGGGCGGACTGTAGCTGCCCTTTGTACACATATTCCAGTGCGGTGGCAATGGTGCGCATGTCCAGCTCGATGCTCCGAGCCCAGTTCTCCACATCCCCGATTTCCTGGGAAGGGGAAGAGGTAGGAGGCTGGGAATCAGGGTGGGTAGAGTGAGGTTCTAAGGAGGCAGATCTGTCCCCTAGAAAGGGCTTTGCCTGAACCCACCAACTACTTTTATCTCTCTAGCTCCTCTGACACAGATAGCATTTCTGGGAACCATCCCCAGTTCCTTTTTAACCTGAGGCCTGAGCTGACTTGACTGGAAGCAGGGGCCCAGGATGGAGCATGGCCCACCTTGAGTGCCTGATTGAAGTTCTCCACCATCCCGATCCACTGGCCTGTCTGCTTGGCAAACTGGGCGGCCTGGACCTGTAGGGTCTTCACCTCATGGTCCAGCTTTCTCTGGTTCATGTAGGCCTGGGCCACACTAGATGTTGGAAGAGGGAGGAGATCAACTCACCAGCTGGTGGGGAGTGGTCTCCAGGACTAATATTCCACTGCAAGGGTGGGAGGGCAGCCAGAAGCCTGGATGGGGAGAACCTCATGATTTTGGCCATTCTTGGGGGTGATGCAAATGACTGCTGTACATGCAAATGAACCAGCTTCTTCCTCCCACTCCCAGGATTCCCAGGAGAGCCTCGCTGGGAACTGACCGAAAACTTACCATCTCCTACCCCCCAAAGGAACTCTTACAGCTGGGTGAGAGAAGGGAGGATAAACCTGGTGGAAATATCCCTGGGGAAGAAGCTGGGAGGGTAGAGGGGGCACAGAGAAGCTGGGGAAATCCAGCAGCAGGGCCACATCTGGCAGTGCTCGGAAGCCTAGGGATCTGTGCAAGAGGTTGGGAAGGGAAATTGGGCCTCTCCCTGAATCTGGGGTGGGATGGGAGAGCACTCCCCTCCCCAGGAACTCAGGGTCAAGAGAAGATATCCCAAGGGCTGCTTCTTGGCTCTCTCAGACTCTCTCAGTGCTTTTTTCGCCCACACAGATGAGCGAACACACACACACACTCTCTCTCTTCCTTCTATTCTAGGCAGTTTTTTTTTTTTCTCCTCAATCAAGGTAGGGTGCAGTTACCATTATTGCCATGAGGCTGCTATCCCCGGAGCCCTGCCCCGTCCCCCTTCCCCCAATCTCCTCATCCCACAACTATTGCCTCATTGGTTGGTGGGTCTTTCACTCCCCATCCTAAAGCTCTAGGTCATCTGGGGGACTCCACATCCGGTGCCCACCCACCCCCACCCTGGAATCTGTGGGGGTTGGCGTGGGTGAAGAGAATGGGAAGGACACCTGACAGGGGCCAAGATAGACTGAGCCTTTGTTTTCCTTTCCAGGGAATGAGAGGACTCGTGGGCAGCAACACAAAACCCTTTCTAATCTGGCTTTGGCTTAGCTGTCCTCTAAGCTGAGAGGGGTGGCTGGCCCCTAGCAAAGGAAGAGCAGAGGGAGAGGTCTGGGCCAGTCTCACAGCAGAGCCCAGGAGGCGCCCATGTGGGAGGGAGGAAAACGGGGCAGACCCCGTCCTTCCTTCTTGGGAGATAGCAGGGGGTACCGTAGGAGCTGAAACAGTAGTAGCAAGGGGCTCCTAATGCTTTAAGAGATTCCTCCGGGAGTTCCTAAAATCCTAGTTTTCCTGTGGACCTCCCTCTTTCACACCGAGTAATGAATAATGCAAGAAGTCTGGAGGGGAGGGAGATCAGAGGCCCCAACCACAGCCTTCTTGTCCCCTAATCATCCCCAGAGGTGAGTAATGAAGAGAACAGTGCCTGCATGGCTCACTTGGGTGACTCAGTTTCTGGATGCACAACCAAGCCATTCTGCTTGATCTGGGGTGGAAGGCATCGTGCCGCCCCTTTCCTTCCCATCACCATCTATCTCAGCCCTCTTCTGGGTCCCTCAGGGTCAAGAGACAATAGTCTTTGCTCGTTCCCAGGTCTTCTGCTGTTACTGGCATTGGCACATAGGACTGGGGAGGGGGGGGCCTCGGGAGCCCCGGAAGGAACGGAGCAGACAGCTTGGCTGTGCCATAGCTCCTGGCGTCGGTTCTGCCCTCACCCTCGCCAGCTGTGCCATCTCTCTCCTGCCAGCTGCTCCCTGGGCCTGCCAGAGGGTGGGAGGTGAAGGAGAAGGTGGCAAGTTCTGGTGCAGGAGGGAGAGTGCCCTCCTGCCGACGTGACAGCTGGACTGGGAGGGGGGCAGATGGCATGAGATTGTGAGCACCAGGGAGGTCCCTGTGGGGAGGGGCAAGCTGGCTGCTTCTCCAGCCGCTGCGGCTGCTCTGGTGCTTGGACCTGAGGGGTCAGGGCGGCCTCAAGCTCTTCCCGTACAGCCGGCGAGGGTGGGAGGGAGGGCGGGGCGGGGACGGCCAGGCCGCGGCGCCCGGCTCGCAGGGGCGGTCGTACCCCACATTGAGGTGATCCACCAGCGCTTCCGTGAGGCAGGTCGCTGCGGCGATGGCCTCCCGCCTCCTCTTCTCTGGCAGCGGGGAAAGGGTTCGAGGGGAGACTCGGTTGCCGGAAGGGCGGCGCCGGCTCGGCCCGGGTCGGCTCGCGGCCGTCCGGGGGCGGGGGAGGGGCGGTGCCCGGGGGAGGCGCGGCCGCGGCGCCCAGGGGTGGCAGCCCCCCGCCCCCCCGCGGCCTCGCAGCCCGGCCGGGTCCCGCCCGCACTCCCGCGGCCCCGGGCCGACGGCCCCTCCGTCACCGGCGTCCTCCCCGCGCTCGGGCCGGGGCTCCGGGGCCGTTCCCGCGGGCGCACGACGCGTCGTCCGCCGACAGCGCCCCCACCCGCCCGCGGCGCCCGGGCCCGGCCGCTACTCGAGGCCCAGGCTCCGCGCCGAGGCCAGGCCGCGGGGACAGGAGGGCGGGCGGCCGGCGGCTCACCCTGCAGCTCCTTGCGTTCGCTCTGCTTGGCCTGGTGCTCCCTCAGCAGGCGCGACAGCATGGCGGCGGCGGCGGCGCGGCGGCGCGGCGGCGGTCACGTGGCCGCACCGTCACGTGAGGCCCGGGGGCGGGGCGGCGGCTCCCGGCGGCGGAGCGGGCGGGGCTGCGCTCGGCTGGCTGTCGGGGGCGCGGCTGGCGGAGCGTCGGAGAAGTCGCTCTCGGGGCTCCTGGCGGCCTCCTGGCGGCCTCCTGGCGGCCTCGCGGGCCGAGTGTGCGGGGTCTGATCCCAGCTCTGTCCTTTTGTGGTCAGGGAATGCGAGCCCTTTCGGTCTTACCAGAAGAGTAAGTGCTGCTGTCACAGTAAAAGGTAAAGCATGTAACACGTCCCCGAACTAAAGACAGATGATGCCAGGACTAACTCCAACAAGCAACAATTACAAACCTCCCCAACGCATCCTTGCCGTTGCCGCAGCCTCTCGGTGCACCGCGCGCCAACGTGCCGAGACTCCGGGCAGGTGCTCTGCATTTTGGTTTTCTCCCTAGTAGAATAAGGGGATTGACTTAAATCAGTAGTTCTCAGCCCTGGCTAACCATTAGAACTACCTGGGGGTGTTTTTAAAAATGCCCCAGTAACTAGATCTCTAAGGAGCGGGGCCCAAGTATTTTTAAAAAGTTGTCCAGCTAATTCTAGCAAGCATCTCACGTTGAGAATCCCTGGGCTAAACCATGTCTAAGGCTGTTTTCAACTTTGGCATTCTCTCATTTTCGGTTGAAATCACTATGGGATTCGGTTACATAGTAGAAAAGTGGCTTCGTGACACTTACAGGTGAAGAGAAGTGGGTGCTGATTTAGAATACACCATTCTTGAATTTTTCTGACAAAGAGCTGAAAATTACTGATTGATTGACTCATTCACCCATTTGCAGAGTAGCACCTTAAATCCCGGGAGGTGTGTAACCGCGAAAAGATCAGTGAATGAAAGGGTTAAATGGTAGCATAAAGCAGAACATTAAATGCCACCAAGATAAGAATTCTGAATAAAAATGTTGGATACTGCATACGTATGTGTTTATGCTTAAACGTGTACTATAATTTATTTTCCAAATATTTCCTGAGTACTCACCATGGGTCCCCTTACATGTATTAACTCATTTAATCCCCAGAACTGTTGTCCTCAACTTTCAGATGAAGAATCTGAGGTACAGAACAGTTAAGTAGCAGAGCTGGTAAGTGGTAGAGCTGGGATACAAATCCAGGCTATTTGACTCCAGAGCCTGAGTGTAACCACTTTATCTGCTGCATAAGCACGGGCAAGACCCCGGGAGGGGAGGCTCTGTCTCTTGTCACTGTGCCCTTCTAGCCTGTGGGCACAGCTGAAGGGAATCCTGGCAGGGGAGGAGTGTTTGGGAAGAGGCTCCCTCCAGTGAGGGGCTGATCAATAGAAGGGGGAAGAGTGAGAGCATCACCAGGCAGCCTAGTCCAGTCCTCCCCCCAACCTCCGCTTGGCTCCAGCTTCCAACTGCAGTGAGCAAGCAAAATAGAAGCTTACTGGAAGGTGCTCAGTGCCTCACTCCCATATCTGTGGGGCCTGGGAGGAAAGAACCGGGGTTGGAGGGGGTTACTAGGGAATGTGAAACAGAGGGCAGGGGCTAATGAGGGGGGTTGGTGTTGGGGGTTTCAGGGGTGAGTTTGTGAATGTTAAGATTAGGCTGACTCAGGGAGGGTGCCAGCCCATCCTGTGTTACCCTCACCCCCCTGGCACAACGGCTTGATGTTTTCATGATCAGTAGAGAGACTGCCAGGACTCTGCAGACATCAGCTCCGCCCCCTCTCCGCACACTGGCTGTTCCTTTGCCCTAGCTAGAGCTGGGCAGAGGACAGGGGAACCTGAATCTGGGGACCCCCCTCCCGATCTCTCCAGGGTCCTCCTCCGGGTGCTCTTTATCTAGGCGTTTGCTGTGCTCACTGTGTAATTTCAGTTTCTGCTGAGTTGAAGCTCAGCTCCCCACCCGACTTTGGTTGAGATGGACACAAGCTTCATGGATCTCTGAAGAATGACTCTTGACATTTGAAATCTTTCTGCCCACATCTCCTTACACATTCCCACCCAGATTATTTTTTCTTAGAATGAATGAATGCAACTCCACGTTCCCCACCTCGCCCCTCCTCCCCATTTCCTTATTCTTTTGGGTTTCTTTCTGAGTTAGCTTTAGTTAATAAGCCCTGGGCCAAATATTAGGGCCAGAAGCTGCTGAGTCGTTAAGGGTTGGGTGAGGACTGAAGGAGAACATGGAGAGAGTGGAGAAGGCTTCTCACACTGGGAAGTCTGGCTGGGTTTCAAGAGGGGGGTGCTGTTGGTGGTGTGGCCAAGTTCCAAATGTTGGCCTGAAGCCAGTGCTCAAAGAAAAGGGGCCCTCAAGACAGTCTAAATGGCTCCCTGTGGGAAGTGACCTCCCAGTCCTTCTCCACAAAATGCATGGGTTTCCCTTGGATCCTCAAAGATGAGAGCAGTCAAGTCATTTCCCCAGCGTCTGCTCTCAATCAGATTTATATTTTTTCTCTCCCAGCCACTCCCAGAGTTCAAGCTTTGGCTACAGCCAGAATTCAGAGGCAGGCAGAAGGATTCCAGTGCTGGAGGGGTGGGTGGGGTGAGAAAGTCCTCATGTTGTGTGTGTTGGGGAGGAAGAGGCTGACCCTGGGACATAAGCTCCACGGCTCTGCTGCCAGATGAGGTGGAAGGAGAAGTTAACCCTGCAGTGTGTTCTGGAAGTGTTTGCTTGTAAGCTAGAGGCAGCAGCTGGAAAATGTGTAATCCAGGGAAACTGAAGAACAGGGAACACAGATGGAGGCAAAGAAAGCTGTTAGAGGGGGAAAGGGCTAGAGAAAGCCTCAGCTTCCACTCAGATAGGCCCGAAGCCTTTGCTGGACCTGGACATTAATCAGTTTTTTAAATTATTTTGAAATAGCTATAGACTCAGAGGAAGTTGCAAAAAATAATATATGAAGCCCTATGTACCCTTTACCCAGCTTCCCTCACTGGTGACATCTTCCATAACTGTAGCACAATATCAAAACAGGAAGCTGACATACACACACTTTTAACTAGCTTACAGGCCTTACTCAGTTTTCATCAGTGTTTACGTGCATTCACGTGTGTAAGTGTGTGTATGTGTGTGTAGCTCTATGCAATTTTATCCCTTTTGCAAGTGTATAGACTTGAAAACCTACCACCAAAATCAAGATACGCATCTCTTTATCACCACAAAGGAGCTTTCTTTTTTGGGTATGTATGTATGTATTTTATTTGTTAAAGATTTTATTTATTTATTAGAGAACACAAGCTGGGAGAAAAGCATAGGGAGAGGGAGAGGGAGAGGGAGAAGCAGACTCCCCGTTGAGCAGGGAGCCCAGTGTGTGGCTGGATCCCAGGACCCCAGGATCATGACCTTAGCTGAGGGCAGATGCTTAACCTACTGAGCCACCCAGGCCCCCCTGTTTATTTATTTTTTGAAGTATAATTAACACACCATGTTATGTTAGCACGGTGTAACGTGCTATCTTTTTATATTCACCTCCTCCCATCCCTGTCCCCTGACAATCACTAATCTGTTTGTCATCTCTATAGTTTTAATTTCATGAATTTTCAAACTCTTAACTCAAATACAAGAAGTTCTCCGGCAGGTTGCTTATTCAAACATTGAGCTTCCTTCATTCTCCAGATCCCTCTAGCTTCTTCATTCCGTGGCCCCCCTTCTTCTACAACATTGTGCCCCACTCCAACAATCTGGTCTCATCCCTCCTTTAGGGAAAATTGAGATGTCTAAATTTACTAGGCTGGGCTAGGACTCTTGCACTCCCCCCATCGCCCTCCTTTGCCCCACTATTTATAGCCAGGCTAATTTTGGGAGCCTCTCTCTCTTCTCTCTCTCTCTCTCTCTCTCTCTCTCGCTCTCTTCCCGCTCCTTCCTCCTGTGGTGGGTGAGATGACTTCTCAAATATTTGGGCAGAGGAGGTCAGAAGCAGATTCTTGGCATCTGATTTCAGTCTTGGATTTAGCAGGAGCCAGCGGGGTGGCGATGAAGGGAGGCAGAAGCTGCAGTTGCAGAGAGGAAGGCACCTGGGCCTCTAAAGGCATTTGACCCTGGTTGGAGATCTCTGTTCAGAGTCAGGAGTCCTGTGTTCTATCCTGATCTTATTACTCTGCATTCTCATATCAGCTCTACAGTCTGGGGCTCCGCGATAGAAAAGGGATGGAGAGGGCAGATCTGGGGGTAAGAAAGGATCCTGGTGCCTGCTTGTTGGCAGCGCGAGTGTTTCCTTGATAGCACCTATTTAGAGGCATGCTAGTCCCCTAGAGAGGATGCCTATAGTGTAGGTTGCAAAAACAGGGGCCCAAATCTTTAAATGCTTAGTAACTTGCCCAAGCAAGGGTTGTCCCAGGGCCTGCAGAGAGAAAGCCTACCTTTTTGTTTGTTTTTAAAAGTATAATCTTGGGGGAGGTGGGTGGGGGCAGGGGGTGACTGGGTGACGGGAATTAAGGAGGGCACATGATGTGATGAGCACTGGGTGTTATGTGCAACTGATGAATCACTGAACTCTACATCTGCAACTAAGAATGTTCTACATGTTGGCTAATTGAATTTAAATTAAAAAAAGGGTAATCACAAAAGGAGCATGGGAAGAGAAATTAGGTAGAGTGCACTGGGGCTTTTAAGAAAGGGAGGGAGGAGAGAAAATATATTTTAAAGATTTCATTTTTAAGTAATCTCTCCACCTAGCACGGGGCTCAATCTTAGAACCCTGAGATGAAGAGTCGCATGCTCTACCGACTGAGCCAGAGGTGCCCCATGAGAAGATGAAATCTTAAGGATAGGAGAGAGAGTTGGAGGGACAGAGACATTAGAGACATTGAGAAATCGTCGGAGAAAGGTTCCAGGTGATAGAGACAAGAAAGGGGACAAAATTAGACTTTGGGAGGAGACAAAACCAGATAGGGAGAGGAAAGAGGACAGGTGGATATACACAAGACCAACGCCCAGGGAGAAGGAGAGTTGGGAGCAAGAGAGGTTCCAGTTGTGCCAAATTATTTCCTATCTCTCCTCCGGGCCCCATTTCTGGATTGGAGTTATAAATAGCAGAGGGTTGGAAAATGTCCCCCCTCCCTCTGCTTCTGTCTCAGCCTGACGGGAAGGGAGAGGAAGAGGGGCAGGCTTGCTGGTCCCGGTGGAGATCCTTGCAAAGCCCCACCCAGATCCCGCCTGGAGCCGACTGGGGTGCGCTGCCTTCTCTATTCCCTCCCCGTCCGAGGGTGGGAAACGGTCAGTTCAGGGAAGGGGCCTGAGAGCCGAAGACAGCCTTTCCATGTCTCTGCCTCTGGGTCCAATCTTTTTCATCTTTGCCCTTGCTCTTCTTGGACCCCTCACTCCCTTTCCCCAACTTAATTGATTTCCTCTTCCTGTATCCATCATTTCAGTCATTTTTCTTTTCTCCCTTCGTTCCATTCCTTGTATTTATTTATTTATTTATTTATTTAGGCAAGTTCTGTGCCCAAGGTGGGACTGGAACTCGCCATCCCGAGGTCAAGAATCGCATGCTCTTCGGATGAGGCAGCCAGGCGCCCCCTCAATTCCTCATTGATCAAACTCTTGCTCTTCTTTCTCTCTTTTCTCTTTCTGTTTTGTTTCTACCCGCCTTCTTTGCTCTCCGCCCCAGACCTGCTGAGTTTCTCTCTCCTCTTGTTTCTGTCTTTTCCTCGGTTCGCCTGAATGCTGGGGATGTGGCTAGCACAGCCGTTGTCGCTGGCGGTCTCTGGGTGGGATGGGACGGTTTGATTGGAGCAGCGCGCCGGGCGCCCTACGCGACCTTCGAGAGAAGGGAGCGCCAGGACCACACAGGACCCTCCCCTTTCAGCTCGCGGTCGGCCTCTCCCCCAGCCTGTCCTTCAGCCTCCCGCACTTCTCGTTTCTCACCCTCCTTTCTCTTTTTCGGTCTTTTTCTATCTGGACTTGTCCTCTCTGTCCCCGTTCTCGGGCGCCGCCCTCACCACTCCCGGGCTTGGGACGGAGTAGGGGGAAGGGCAGGAGCGCGCGGGCTGGGGCGGGGCCGAAGCCGGGGGTGGGGGGGCTGGTGACGGGGGGATGCCGGCGGGCGAGCGAGGCCGGTTCCCGCCCAGGGTCGCCAGCCTGGACATCCCTTTGCGACGCCGCGAAGCCTCCACCTGCCGCGCGGGGCCGGGGCGGGGCTCCCGGGAGCGGGGGCGGGGCCGGGGCGGGGCTCCCGGGGCCGGGGGCGGGGAGGCGGGAGCCGGGACGCACGCCTGGGCTGCGGCTGCCGCAGTCGCCTAGCGGGTGTTGGGGGCGCCGGGCGGCCGGGCGGCGGGAGGGGGGTGGCGAGGAGAGGGACTGCGAGGCCCCTTCAGACCTGCGGGACTCGAGATCGGAGAGCCGCCGTGGGAGACCTGGGGCTCCGGCACCAGCGAGTGTTTTGCGCTCATGGGGAGCGCGCCCAGCGTTCGCCGCATGGCGGGGGCTCGGGGCCGTGGTCCCTGGGGGGCCCCCGGGATCCGATGCCTTCTTGGCTCCCTGCTGGCCGCGCTGCTCGCCCCGGGGGCTGTCGCCTTCAATCTGGACGTGACGGGCGCCCTGCGCAAGGAGGGCGAGCCGGGGAGCCTCTTCGGCTTCTCGGTGGCTCTGCACCGGCAGCTGCAGCCCCGACCCCAGAGCTGGTGAGTCACAGCACCCGCCCAGGGTCCCCGTGCCGAGCCACACATCCCCCTCCCTCCCCCGTCTCTCCGTTTTTCAACCCCCCGTCGACCGACTCAGGCTGTCCGTAGATAACCCGCACTTCAACCTTGCCTCCTCGGTCGCGGGTCCGGAGGCGCGCCCTCAGGGCCTGAGATCAGCGGCTTGCTTTGGGGGTGAGTGGGAGAGCGAGGTTCTTGTCTTGGCGGGGAACTCTCTCCTTTTGCCTTTCCCCCAAACTTGCATCCGTGCTCCAGCCCCGGGGGTCTGTGACTTCCCCTCCTTCAGAGGGCTGGATACTCTCAGGAAGGGGGACTGGACTTCTTGTCTCTGCTTCAGGCAGGAGGAGAGGGAAAGGAGAAAGACGTTGAAGACACTGTGGGAGGGATGGAGGGTGGACCCCAGAAATAACCTCCATCAGAACATCGCCATGGCATAGAAGGAAGACAGGAGGACACTGGAGGCCAGGAGAGCCCTGCCATTTAGTTCTGTGACTCAAGAGCACGGGAAGGTTGGAAGAGGACCTGGGAGACTATGGCAACCTGTAGTAGATGATTTGATGATAGAGTGGCAGGAAACAGAGCCCCCCAAAGCTGTAGCAGCAGCAGCAGCAGCAGCAGGAGCAAGAGCAAGATCCAGGACAGATGCTGGTCAGGTTGTTCCCCTTCCTCCTCCTCAGGAAATTGCCAGGTCTAGGAATCTCAGCAGTGGGGGAAAGCAGGGAGGAGTGAGGGGCAGAGGACCATCCTAGTTATTTTCTGCTCAGTTCAGATGCATGGGAGATGGGCACATGTGTGTGGGCCCTGTGTCTGTCATGTTTCCTGTGCTATTGGTTCCTGCTACATGTATGATTTTATGAAGAGAGACAAGGGGAAGAAAGCTTCCCACCCCCTCCTGCCAGGGGGCTTTGCTTTCCTAGGCTAGGGCCTAAGCCACACTAAGTGTCCATTATTGGGATCAATGCCGTCCACTGGGATTGTCTTCTCCCCGGCACTATTGGCCTGAGGGCAGAGGCTAGGGACAGGAGCTCATTTCTCTTCCCTCCCGTTCCGGGAGGAGAGGCTGGGTCTCAATTTTTCTTCTTCCATTATCCTTGTCATCAGGGAGCATGGTCAGTGGTTCCCCCAAACTTTGGGAGAGATAAAAAGCAACTGACTTCATTTCTTCTTCAGTCTTCTATCTGCTTCCTACCCCATCTCTGCCTCCCTCCCTCCCTTCTTCCCCCATCTGCCAGAGTTCCAGGACTGGAGGCCTTTTTAGGACATGCTGAACTCTCTGAGCTATTTCCAGGCAAATTCTAGGTTATTTTAAATAGCTTGGTCTCTTGTTATTTCCCCCTCCTCTCTGAAGGTGGCCCCCAAATAGGTGTCCTAAAGCCAAGCTGGGGGCTTTCCCAGAGGAGCCTGACTGCCTAACCCTGCTTTTGCTCCAGCAAGGGGTGCTGTGCTGCCTGGTGGCACGTGAGACACCAGGTTCCTTGCTCAGTCCCTAGCTTTTGAGTTGCATGTCACCTTCACCAGCATCCACCCTTTGAAAAGCCTCACCCATTTTGATGTCTTTCAGTCTTGCTCTTGGATGAGACTTTGATGTCAAACCTTCTTTGCTCTGTGGTTTCAGCCTCATTTGTATCTTCCAACTGTAAAACGGCATTAAACAGTAGGACTCCCAGATAGAGTGGTTGTGGAGTTTAAGAATTCTTAGTATATATAAAACCCTTAGAATAGTGTAAGGCCCAGAGGGAGTGCTCTGGAAGTGTTAGCACTGTTATTCCCGTATCATGTAGTGCTCCAAAGAGCTAGAGAATAGCTATAGTGCCTTGCTGCAAGCCTGGATCCAAAGGCTTGGCTAGATCCCCCTGGCTGAGTCAGCTTTCAGGCCAAGCACCCTCCCCAGAGGGCCACCCAGATTGAGAGTCAGGGAGGGCAGGCCTCGGTCAGAGCCCTCGAGCGCGTGCAGAATTGAGAGGTGCAGTGGTAGTGGGCTACTCCTTTGCTTCCACTTAGCTAGGCTCTCAGGGAATCCCTCTGCCCCCAGCTGCCTATATGCTCTAGCTTTTGTCTGCAGTGGCTACAGCTGTGCCTCCTGTTCTGTCCAGAGGCCTGGGTGGCTGGGGTTTGTGAGACGAAGCCAGAAAAGTGTGTGGCTGGGGCAGAGGTGGAGGGACTAGAGAGGCTGTTCCAGGGAGGGCGGGCTGGTCTGTTCCCCACTGAGAGTGAGGCTGGGCATGTGTATGCACCGGCTCCTTTCCTCCCTGTGGACCCCTTCCCTCCACCCTCCTCCCTACTCTAGACCTCTAGGGGAGATGTGAACACTGAACGCTGATCGTAGCTTCTCCTGGTGCTTAGCTATGAGCTGACCAGGCGAGGCACTGGGTGTGCCTGTGAGCCCACATAACGTGCATGTTCTACAGATGAGTCCACATGCATCCAACGGGGCAAGCACAAAGATGAACAAGGGAGCCTCAGTCCTCCAAGAGATGGCCATCTCTGAGTTTGGAGGTGTGTGTTGGGGGTACTGCGGACTTGTTTCAAGATTGGCCACGCCACCAGGTTTCCTTTTCTGCGTTGGATACCCTCCCGTCCCCTTCCTACTGTTTTTGTTTTTGTTTTTGTTTTTTTGGAGTGGTCTCGGTATTCTGGAGATGGCTCATCATTCGGTTGCATATGGTGGAAGATGCATGGGTTTTGAAATTGGGCAGATGTGGATTTGAATTCCAGCATCCTTCTTAACGTGTCTCAGTGAGTCTCCTCATCTGAAAGACAAGGGGAGAATCCTCACATAGGATTGTTGTGAAGCTTAAATGAGAGAATGCATGTAGGTTGCCTAGCTTGATGCCTGGAGCATAGGCAGAGGGTGACAAACGTTAGGTCCTCATATCCCTGGCATCTAGCCTAGGGACTGACCCACAGTGGGTGCCGAATAAATGTTACTTCCTTGTCTCACCAGTGCCTGACACAGGGCTTGGCAGGTGATAGTGTCTCAATACACAGGCTGGTAATGTGTGCCAACCGCCCATGCCTGCTTCCTTGCCACTCCTCGTCCCCTCCTCTCCCTGGACACTGGCTCTGACGCGGGATGACAGCTGCTAAGAGACCAGAGCTGTGGGAAGGGAGAGTGGCTCTGTGCCCTCCCCTCCCCCTCAGAACTGGCAGAGTGCCCCATAGATGCCTGTCTGCAATATTGTCTGACACAACTTTGGGCCTTGTCCCCCAGCAAAGGAGACTGGGACAGAGGCCTTGAGGTTTGCCCTGCATCTACTTCTGAGTCCCTCCTTCTGTGGAGAGAGATCCTTGTAGTCAGCTGGGTGCCAGTCACCTCACCTTACCCCTTCCTTCACTCCCGGCCTGGGGCTCAGCCCCAGGGGACCCAGGCAACCTCCATTCCCAGCATAGTCCTCCCCTAGGGAAGAAGCCTTGGCTGTGATCACGGAAAATTGTCCTGCCAAGAAAGTTGTAGCTGGGAAAGTGTCTGAGGGGGAGGTAAGGACAGGGTTGGGGGCAGGGAGGGTGGGAGGAATGGGGAAAATCATGGATGTGGGGAGGACAAGGAACAATGGGGAAGGGGATTCAGGGTATGGGCAGAAAATGGGGGTAGGACTGGAGACAGATGAGAAACTTGCCCCTACCTCCGTGCCAGCTGGAGTGACTGAGACAATCCTGGGTTGGCAGTGTTGCTGGGGGGATGGGGTCTCCGTTGGGTCCCTGACGAAGGGGGAACAGGCCCGGATCTAGCCTCTTCCTTGGCTTCTGAAGCTGGTGCCTGGACCACCTCGTGGTGCCAGCCTGGGACCCTGTTACTTTTGCTCTCAGCATTCTTGGCATTTCTGGGTGGGTTCCAACTGGACTGGGCTTGGGGAGGAGGGCAGAGCTTGGGGATGGGGCCAGGACGTGGGTAGGGAAGGCCTGGTCAGGAACAGGTGCTGGGAACAGGCGGTTCTTTCAAACTAGCTGTGCTGGCCTGGCCACTTGGTTTGGCATGTGTGCGCACACGTGTGTGTGTGTGTGTGTGTGTGTGTGTGTGTGTGTGTCTACAGTGCGTGTGGGCCCTCATCCAGGGCATATGTGTGTCTGTGCTTATGTAATGTGATGATTGCATGGTATTAATTTGCCCTTGCCAGGACTCAGGGAAACGGACTTCCAGCGCTCCTCCTTAGTTCTTCAACACTCACTTGGTTGGGAGGGGCTGGGCCTGGGCAGCGCTGGGGAGGCACAGCACTCCGGCTGCTAACCCCTGCCCCTGCTCCGCTGTGCAGGCTGCTGGTGGGTGCTCCGCAGGCCCTGGCTCTGCCTGGGCAGCAGGCGAATCGCACCGGAGGCCTCTTTGCTTGCCCCCTGAGCCTGGAAGAGACTGACTGCTACAGAGTGGACATCGACCGTGGAGGTGTAGACCCTGCAGGGTTGGGGGCGTGTGGCACAGGAAGGGGGAGGAGAGGACTTGGCCTCCTCTTCCCTCTCCTCATTCCCACTGTCCTGCCTCTAGCTGATGTGCAGAAGGAGAGCAAGGAGAACCAGTGGTTGGGAGTCAGCGTTCGGAGTCAGGGACCTGGGGGGAAGATTGTCGTGAGTACCACTTCTTGGGACTGTGTGCAAGGTGTGTGTGTGTGTGTGTGTGTGTGTTTGTATATGGCACAAACCATATGTCCCTGTGCTCAGGTGTGCTTGTAGAGCACAGGCTAGAGTGTGGTACGATGGCCTGATTCCCAGGACCAAAGTTACAAGACACAGTATGTGTCCCTACAAATTTAAAACCATCTAACCGTCCACCTGTCCATTTGTCAAACTCTTTTTTTTAAATTTTAAAGATTTTTTTAAAAATTTTTATTTATTTATGATAGTCACAGAGAGAGAGAGAAAGAGAGAGGCAGAGACACAGGCAGAGGGAGAAGCAGGCTCCATGCACCGGGAGCCCGACGTGGGATTCGGTCCCGGGTCTCCAGGATCGCGCCCTGGGCCAAAGGCAGGCGCCAAACCACTGCGCCACCCAGGGATCCCCAATTTTAAAGATTTTTAAAGAAGATTTTATTTATTTATTCATGAGAGACACACACACACACACAGAGGCAGAGACACAGGCAGAGGGAGAAGCAGGCTCCCTGCAGGGAGCCCGACGTGGGACTCGATCCCAGGACCCTGGGATCACGCCCTGAGCCGAAGGCAGATGCTCAACCACTGACCCCCCAGGCGCCCCCATTTGTTAAACTCTTACTGAGAACCTTTTAAGCATCAGGCTTGTGCTAGTTACTGAGACACGAAGTGTAAAGCCTGGTCCAGGGCTTAAAAAGCCCACCGCATTGTTATGGAGACTCATTCTCTGTTTCTCTGTATCATCACTGATATGCACAAACACACTACTGTGAGTCGCGGTGGGCAGAATGTGGCCAATGTTATGTGAGCAGTCCAGTCCCCAGTGCCTGAACGTCCAAGGGAGGCGTGGACAGAGGGTGGAGGTGTCAGGCAGCCTTCGGAGAATGAGCAATGCTCCCAGCGCACAGCAGGGGGGAGTTCTTTGCGGGCAAAATGGGGGCACTTACAAAGGCCCAGAGGCAGGACGGCTTGGCCCGGTGGGGACAGACGTCCGGTGGTGGGGGGCGGGCTGTGTGCCGGCTTAGGCTTAGTCCTGCTGCGAGTGCCTGGCCTGCCGGGGCAGAGCGGGAACAAGGCCGCTTCCTGCGGGGATGAGGGAGTGAGTGCAGGGCCAGGGTGTGTGCATTGCTTGACGCTGGGCGGGGTGGTGCCCAAGTGACGTGTGTCGCTGCGCTGTGCATGCTCGGGAAACAGTGCTCCGCAGAGGTCTGCAGGTGCGCCCACCCGTGTCGCCTCCTTCCTCAGACCTGTGCGCACCGGTACGAGGCGCGGCAGCGAGTGGACCAGATCCTGGAGACCAGGGATGTGATCGGCCGCTGCTTCGTGCTGAGCCAAGACCTGGCTGTCCGCGATGAGCTGGATGGCGGGGAGTGGAAGTTCTGTGAGGGGCGCCCCCAGGGCCACGAACAGTTTGGGTTCTGCCAGCAGGGCACAGCTGCCGCCTTCTCCCCCGACAGCCACTACCTCCTCTTTGGGGCCCCAGGAACCTATAACTGGAAGGGTGAGTCACTCCCTGGGGAGGGGAGAAGGGACCCAAAATGTCCTCTGACCTCAGAGCCGGGACTGGGGGCAGCGCGTGGCCAGGCACGCCCACACGTTCCCCCGCGCCCACACGTTCCCCCACGGCCCGGGCACCGCCTCGTGTCCCAGGCCAACTGAGCTGACGCACATGCAAATGGGGTGTCTCCTGTCCTTCGAATGGCCGAGCGCTCCACACCCTGCTGGCATGAGCCCACATGCACGGCTCGGCCCGCTCCAACACCTGAGCCCCCACCTCATCACTCCCATTCCTGTCTCCGCACACCCTGGCTGAGCTGCCACTTGGTGAGTGCGGTGGCAAGTCCGGGGGACCCGCAGGCTTGGGCCGGGGAAGGGGTGGGCACGGGGCTGCGGAGGACAGGATGGGCTTCCCTGTATGCCTGTCCAGCTGGCGCATGGCCCCAGAGGAGCCCCCCACCTCACCCCCCCGCCCTGGGCACTAACAGGTCTGTCCTTGCAGGCACCGCCAGGGTGGAGCTCTGTGCGCAGGGCTCGGTGGACCTGGCGCACCTGGACGACGGGCCCTACGAGGCGGGGGGAGAGAAGGAGCAGGACCCCCGCCTCATTCCGGTCCCTGCCAACAGCTACTTTGGTAGGGACCCCTCCCTGGCCCAGAGCTGCTCTAACCCTCTACTCTCTCTTGTCCTCCCTCTCCACACTCCCATCCTTCTGTCTCTGGCTCTGGCTCTGTCTCTGGCTCCTCTCCGGTCTCTCTCTGTCTTTCCGTCTCTGATTCTTATCTTGCTGGTCTCTTTGTCTCTCTCCTATGCTTTCTCCACCTCCTCTTCTTCCTCCTTCTTGCCTTTATGTCTGGCTCTACCTCCCCACTCTGTGGCCCCTCCTCTGGATGTCCCGTCCTTGGTGTCTCCCCCCACCCGCCCCCCGCAGGGTTGCTCTTTGTGACCAACATTGATAGCTCAGACCCTGACCAGCTGGTGTATAAAACTTTGGATCCCGCTGACCGGCTCCCAGGACCAGCCGGAGACTTGGCCCTGAATAGCTACTTAGGTTTGTAAGCTCCCACCATGTCCCCCTGGGCCCTGGGGGCTTGGCCTGGCCTCCCCTCCTCTCCTGCCCTGCCCTGCCCTCACCAATGCACACTCAGGGAAATAAATATTGGGCCCAAATTTCCAAGAAGAAATGGGCCCAGTGAGCAGGCCTGAGAAGATGCCCCAAGGGGGATGGCCTAGGGGGCTGTGAATGAGGGTCTCCCTGGAGGAAGAACCAGGTGGGCTGAGCCTGGATTGGGAGAGAAAGGTGCTAGAGCTCTAGTGGGAGTTTCTCAGAGGGCTGGATGGTTGGCTCATGCCAGAGAGAGGTCTAGCCTTGTTGGTGAGTGCCTCTCATTGTCTCCTCTCCCCTTTGCAGAGGGGGAGGAAACCAGACCTGGGTGATGTTTGGGTGAATCAAGGTCTTTCCCACTTCCCCATCTCTCCCCCCTGTCCACGTGAAGACTTCCTCTCCCTGCCAGCACGGTGGGAGTGGGAGCAAAGTAGGTGCATTAGACGGGGCTGGGGCCTCGTGGGTGTGCAGAGGGGAGAGCAGCTCCCTGTGAGTCTCGCATGTGGTGCCCTGCCCAGCTGTTTCCCAGGCAGCTGGCCTTCCTGGCCATTGCCTTGCTCTTTCTTCCCCAGGCCCCGAGGCTGACGCATGGCACTTCTTGTGCCAAACTGCAGTCTGGGCTGTGGGAAGGCAGCTGGGTCTCCGGGAGGGGGAGGCAGAGCAGCCCAGTTGTGGTGGTGCTAGCTTGGCGGGCACCTATACCTTTTGGCTCCAGACCCCTGAGGAGGGGGCCCACTGCGGGGAGCCTGGTCACACCTTGGCTCCTGAGGCTTTTGGGGAGTGCTCACTGGTAAGTCCCTCCACCCAGGTTTCTCCATTGACTCGGGGAAGGGTCTGGTGCGTGCAGAGGAGCTGAGCTTTGTGGCAGGGGCCCCCCGTGCCAACCACAAGGGAGCTGTGGTCATTCTGCGCAAAGACAGCGCCAGCCGCCTGGTGCCCGAAGTCATGCTGTCTGGGGAGCGCCTGACATCTGGCTTCGGCTACTCACTGGCTGTGGCCGATCTCAACAACGATGGGTGAGAGTGGGCACAGGGGAGTGGAGCCTGGGAGGTGCTGGGCCTCTGGCATCTTTCTGGCTCCCATGGCTGGGGAGGAAGCCACACTGACCGGTTTCCCTCTCTCCATAGCTGGACAGACCTGGTAGTGGGTGCCCCCTACTTCTTTGAGCGCCAAGAAGAGCTGGGGGGTGCTGTCTATGTGTACCTGAACCAGGGAGGTCACTGGGCTGGGGTGTCCCCTCTCCGGCTGTGTGGTTCCCCTGACTCCATGTTCGGGATCAGCCTGGCTGTCTTGGGAGACCTCAACCAAGACGGCTTTGCAGGTGTGACTGGGAACTGGAAAGCCTGGTGGGTGGGGAGGTGGGGGAGGGGACAGGGGAAGGGCAGAGGCAGGGCAGGGGTGGGGGGGTGGCAGGGGGAATGCCTCAGAGCTTAAGGGGGAGAGCTCTAGGAGAGAAGCAACCTGGGCTCCCATCTGAGCTTTACCATTTGCCAGCTTTGTGACCTTGTACAGGTAAAGTTTCGGAGCTGGTAAGATCTGCAGAGAGCAGCCAAGAGGCTTAAAGATGATGTGTGTAAGGTGCTGGCAGGGAGAGGAAGGTGCCCGGGACTTAGTAGCCTCTCAATAAAATAGAGAACATATTACATGGAAGTGAATGGCTGAGGGAAAGTTGGGGTCTGCATGACCCCCCTCCCCAGCCCTACCCCGGTCTGATTAGCTTTTTCCTGTGCCCACAGATATTGCTGTGGGGGCTCCCTTTGATGGGGATGGGAAAGTCTTTATCTACCATGGGAGCAGCCTAGGGGTTGTCGTCAAACCTTCCCAGGTGAGGGGGGGTCTTGGGATGAGGTGTGGAGGGAATGGGTGTGGGCAGTCTGGGGGGCACAACAGCGGAGGGCAGGGGGTGGAGCTGGGGGTGATGCTGTGGGGAAGCTGATGGGATGGTCCTGCAGGTGCTGGAGGGTGAGGCTGTGGGCGTAAAGAGCTTTGGCTATTCCCTGTCGGGTGGCCTGGATGTGGATGGGAACCATTACCCGGACCTGCTGGTTGGCTCCCTGGCCGACACTGCTGTGCTCTTCAGGTGGGCCCCTTCCCCTCCTCTCCTCTCCTCTGCCTCCCTGAGGCCAGCTCCTCCCTTTCCCTGCCTGAGAGTCTCTTGTTTCTTGTGCTCCACTCCCCATTCCCAGGGCCAGACCCGTCCTTCAGGTCTCCCATGAGGTCTTCATCGCTCCCCGAGCCATTGACCTGGAGCAGCCCAACTGCGCTGCTGGCCACTTGGTCTGGTGAGGCAGGATCCAAGGGGAGGCAGGGAGATTTCAGGGTCTGCTTTCCCCCATCCTCCCTTTCTCTGCCCAGTGTGGGGCTGGGGGGCTGGGCTGGGGCAGGAGTGAGGCATTGGCCCGTGAGCCTTGCCTGCCTCAGGAGCCACCCTTGCCCCCCCAGTGTGGACCTGAGGGTCTGTTTCAGCTACATCGCAACACCCAGCAGCTACAGCCCTATTGTGGGTGAGTGAGGTCCCCTCCAATTTTCCACCCTTTTGGGTTTCAGGGTGGGTCACTCTGAGGTGGACAGAGGGCATCTTGGAGACAGGGTCAGATTAGTGCAGTTCCCCAGCTCACTGGCTCCTCTCTTCTCCCCACATGCCACAGCCCTGGATTATGTGTTAGATGGGGACACAGACAGGAGGCTCCGGGGCCAGGTCCCCCGTGTGACCTTCCTGAGCCGTGGCCCAGACGACCCCAAGCACCAGTCTTCAGGCATTGTGTGGCTGAAGCACCAGCATGACCGAGTCTGTGGAGACACCATGTTCCAGCTACAGGTGGACACTGGCCCTTTGGCAGGGGTAGGGGGTGGGGGAGGTCATTGTCATCGCATGACTTCTTTTCTTTGGTTCCTTTTAGCTGCTTCCCTAACATGCTCACACTTCATTCTTTGATTTAAACTTTTGGGGAAGCCTCCCTGATGGGCTGATCTCCTCCTCACCTGTTGCCTTCTTGTGTCTTCTGCCTTCTGTGTCCAGAGTACAAGTTCTGTCCTCCGTGGAGGTGGAGATGGCAGGTTTCCTTGTCACATCTGGTCCTCAAAGTCCTAGATCCTGGTCTCTTCCCTTTTCCACGCCAGTTGCTCTCCCTCTCCCTCATTATGGTCTCTACCTCTCTCTTTCATCTCCTCGAGCTTCTTGGCAGCTTTCAGAACCTGTCCTAGGTCTGGCTGGGGCCTGAGGATTGTTCTAGTATCTGTGTCCATCTTTCCTCTTCCCAGGAGAATGTCAAAGACAAGCTTCGGGCCATTGTGGTGACTCTGTCCTACAATCTTCAGACCCCGCGGCTCCGGCGACAGGCTCCTGGCCAGGGGCTGCCCCCAGTGGCCCCCATCCTCAATGCTCACCAGTCCAGCACACAGCGGGCAGAGGTGAGCTCAGGAGAGGGAGCTGGAAGGAGTAATGTCACCATCCTTCACAGTGACAAGCATTCAGAGCTTCCGAAACTCCTTCACACGCTACCCCAGTAATTCCTCATGTTTCTAGGTGCTGTGACAAGTAGACCCCAAAATGGAAAATGGCCCAAGTGATTACGTGTTCCTAGTTAGAGGGGACACCGGTCCTCCGTTCCACCCCTTCATTCAGGGCTGATGGGGATCAGCCATCTTCAGATGCAACTCCAGGTCCTTAGGTCACTTCCGTCCCTATCAGCTGGAGGGGGGAGCGTGAAGCTCCTTGTAGGGCTCTCCTGGGCAGTCCGGGGGTGATGCCCTTCACTTCTCTTCACATTCTAAGCCCGGAATCCGTTCTGGATTCCCCAGCAAGGGACACTGGGGAAGTGTGGTCAGGGCCGGCCCGTGGGCCTCCACCTCAGCGTCTTCACGCTTGTACCGAGGGGGGGGCCGTGGCTCAGGGTGGCCGGTGGGCGGCTCATTACCACGCGGGGGCAAGCGGCAGATCTGAGGGCTGAGCACCGTCCCACCTCGCCCGCCTGACCCGGGAATGAGCCTCTCCTCGCATCTCCCCCCAGATCCACTTCCTGAAGCAAGGCTGCGGCGAGGACAAGGTCTGCCAGAGCAATCTGCAGCTGGTCCGGGCCCGCTTCTGCGCCCGGGTCAGCGACTCGGAGTTCCAGCCTCTGCCCATGTGAGGGGGAGCGGGGGGGGGACGGGGGGAAGGCAAGAGTTCAAGGGAGAAAAGGAAGCCCCCTCAGGAGGGCGGAGGGTCAGTGATGGGGCCCAGAGGCTCTCCTGGCAAGGAAGAGCCTTGACGAGACACAGAATAGGGTGCAGCTGATGCGCAGCGCACTCCCCAGTCTTCCTAACCCAGGGACGTAGGGCTTGTTATTAGCTGCTTTGTGGATGGAAAATGGGGGCCTAGAGAGATTGACTTAGCTGCCTCAGGTGAGCAAGTAAGGGAGCTCGGACCGGAACAGCAGTCTCTTGGGCTGGGAAGACCAGAGGCCTGGACTGGAGTGGAGGGAGCTGTGGGGCAGCCAGCAGGAGGAGAGACTCGGGGAGTAGAGGCAGGAGAGGGAAGTGTTCAGATCAAGACTGAGTGGGATCTGACCTCCAGGGATGCGGATGGGACAACAGCCCTGTTTGCCCTGAGTGGGCAGCCCGTCATTGGCCTGGAGCTCACGGTCACCAACCTGCCCTCGGATCCAGCCCAGCCCCAGGCTGATGGGGATGATGCTCATGAAGCCCAGCTTCTGGTCACCCTCCCTGCCTCTCTGCACTACTCAGGAGTCCGAGCCCTGGACCCTGTGGTGAGGACCTGTGGCGGGGGTTGGGGTGCTCGGAGGCTCCAGTAACCCCAGCTGACCTCTCCTTCTCTCCCCGCCGCAGGAGAAGCCGCTCTGCGTGTCCAACGAGAATGCCTCCCATGTGGAGTGCGAGCTGGGGAACCCCATGAAGAGAGGTGCCCAGGTTGGCACGTCAGCACTTATCCCTGTCTGAGTGCATCTCTAAGCCCTGACCCCTTCTCCAGCCCCTGGCCTTCCCTGACTCACATTGCTCCCCACTCCTGGCCTAGGTCACTTTTTACCTCATCCTTAGCACCTCAGGGATCACTATTGAGACCACAGAGCTGGAAGTGGAGCTGCTGTTGGCCACGTAAGCCTGGTGGGGCCAGGGGGTGATGAGGGAAGGGGCAGCTGGGCCGGTGCCACTTGGATGGGGCTCTGCTGCCTTCATCGGGGCCCTTGGGGCGGTGCCTGTACCCCACTACCCATGCCCGCTCCTGCCCGCATGCCAGGATCAGTGAGCAGGAGCTGCACCCCATCTCCGTCCGAGCGCGTGTCTTCATTGAGCTGCCACTGTCCATTGCAGGGTAAGCTCTGTCTGCATGGGCAGACCGGCCAGAGGGGTGGGTGTTGCTCCTTCTGACTGTCCGATTGGCCAGGCCCTGGGCCTCCTCAGCCCCCATTTTGACCTGTCCATGCTAGGGTGGCCGTTCCCCAGCAGCTCTTCTTCTCTGGTGTGGTGCGCGGTGAGAGCGCCATGAAGTCTGAGCGGGATATAGGCAGCAAGGTCAAGTATGAGGTCACGGTGAGTGTCCTGTAAGGCCCCTCCCTCCTTGACACAGAGAGAGGCTGAGACATGTCCCAAGAGCTGTGGTTCTCCTGGCCTATGGCGGTTTGATGGTCCAGTGGGTTCAAGGCCTCCCCTCACTCCTGGACCTTGATTGCGGCCAGTTGTGTGTTTGGGGCCTCACTTGACCGCTTCCTGGTCATCCCTGTATAGACATCTCACCTGTCTGACTGGATAGGCCATGAGGGCACAGGGAAGCTTTTCTGTGAGGGACCTTAGCTGGGGGATGGGGGCAGTGGGGGAGGGCTTATATCTCTCCTTAGGACTCTGCCCTTGGTTGGCTGGGGCCTCTGCAGACTCGCAGGGACATGTCCAGACCTTCCTGGTTTTGGGGTGGGCAGGAGAATGATGCCTGGTGAGGCCTTAGGATTCCAAGTCCTTGTTGCGATTCTGCTTCCTGAGGCCTTTCCCTCATCCCTTGTCCCTTCTGTCTCTGCAGATTTCGGGCCTGCTCCGAAACTGAGCACCATCCCTTCACACTCCCTTGTGCCCACAGGTCTCCAACCAAGGCCAGTCACTTAACACCCTGGGCTCTGCCTTCCTCAACATCATGTGGCCCCATGAGATTGCCAATGGGAAGTGGCTGCTGTACCCCATGCGAGTGGAGCTGGAGGGCGGGCAGGGGCCCAGGCGGAAGGGCCTCTGTTCCCCAAGGCCCAACATCCTCCATCTGGTGAGGCTTAGGCAGGGTGGTTAGGGCCGTTGAGGCAGGGTGGCAGGAGTTAGATTTTGGGAAGATGTGGGGAGCCAGGGGGAAGGATGTGGGGAGGAGATGCCCTCTCGGGGTGGCTGTGTTTGGAGGGATGCTCACTGCCCCCACTGCCTGCGTCCAGGATGTGGACAGCAGGGATAGGAGGCGGCGGGAACTGGAGCAGCCCAAGCAGGAGGAGCATCCTGAGCATCTGGAGCCCAGCACATCCTGGTGGCCAGTGTCCTCTGCTGAGAAGAAGAAAAACATCACCCTGGTGAGGGCATGGTACAGTCAGAATGTGGGGCGGGGGTGTTGGTGATGTGACAGGGGGCGCTGGCTCACATGAGCTTTCAGGGGCTGGGTGTCCAGGGGGCTGGCCTGTTGAAAGGTGTGGTGGATGGGCAGCCCGGTGGCTCAGCGGTTTAGCACCGCCTTCAGCCCAGGGCATGATCCTGGAGACCCGGGATCCGGTTCCACATCGGGCTCCCTGCATGGAGCCTGCTTCTCCCTCTGCCTGTGTCTCTGCCTGTCTCTGTCTCTTGTGAATAAATAAATAAAATCTTAAAAAAAATAAGTGGATGTGTTGAGCTGAATGGAGTTAGGTCAGACCTGGACAGAGCAGGGCTTAAGTACCCTGTCTCCCAGCTGTCCCAGGAGATGCTGGGGGACAGGGTACGACAGCTGCCTCCTCCTTCAGTGGGTTTGGGCTTAGCACAGGAGTGTGGCTTTGCCCAACATGGACCTGGATTCAAGTATCTCTTCTGCCACTTCTCAGCTTTGCTAGCTGTGCAACCTGAGCCGGGTCACAGGGCCTCTTTTTTTTTTTTTTAAATCTTATTATCTTTTTTTAAATCTTATTTTTAAGTAACCTCCACACCCAGTGTGGTACTTGAACTTACAACCCCAAGATCAAGAGTCTCATGCTCCACTGACTGAGCCAGCCAGGTGCCTCTTTCTCTCTTTTTATTTTATTTTTTATTTTTTTATTATTATTTTAAATTTTTATTTACTTATGATAGTCACATACACACACACACAGAGAGAGAGAGAGAGAGAGAGGCAGAGACACAGGCTGAGGGAGAAGCAGGCTCCATGCACCGGGAGCCTGATGTGGGATCTGATCCCGGGTCTCCAGGATCGCACCCTGGGCCAAAGGCAGGCGCTAAACCGCTGCGCCACCCAGGGGTCCCCTATTTTTATTTTTTTAAAGTTTAATTTATTTATTCATGAGAGACCCAGAGAGAGGGCCGAAGGAGAGCAGGCCGAAGGAGAGCAGGCTCCATACAGGGAGCCTGACATGGGATTCGATCCTGGGTCTCCAGGATCACGCCCTGGGCCGAAGGCGGTACCAAACCGCTGCGCCACCCGGGCTGCCCTCTCTCTCTCTTTTTAAAGTAATTTCCTTCCGCCTGGCAGCCATTGCAGAATGAGGGGTAGAGCGGCAGGTACTTTTTAGAGACCAGATTCCCAAATTCACCATCGCCACCTTGCCACCTCCCTGATTCCCGGAAACCTAGGCTACAATAAGAGATACCCTGTAGTGACATAAAATTCAATAAACAGTTTGTCAAAAAAATATATATTTTTCTTTGGCCAGCATGGGGCTCGAACTCATGACCCCGAAGTCAAGAGTTACATGCTCTATGGACTGAGCCAGTCAGGCACCCTGCACCTGGCCTCTTTGAACTTTAATTTGGAAAATGGGGATGATAATAATATGCATCTTGCAGGACAGCTGTGAAGCTTTAATAAGTACCTTGCAGACAGGAGGTGCTCAGTAAATGGGGCCGTTATTATATAACGTAAGCATTAATTGGGGAAGTTACTGTGTTGCTGCTGTCTGGGAGACCTCCTCCTTGCTCCTCATGTGTTTCAAAGCCAGATAGACCAGATTTGGGGTAGGCTGCTCTTTTGGACCATAGGGTTAGTTTGGGGAGACTTCCTGGAGGAGGCGAGTTTGAGGTTGGATAAGGAAAATGGGAGAGATATGAATGAGGAACAAGGGCAAAAGGGAATCTAAGGTGCGGGAGCTCATGGAGGGATGGAGTGAAGTCTGCAGGCAGACTCTGTGTCTCTATGTGAGGGTGCTGGGCCCTGCGGAGGCTCAGTGGGCTGGGGTCAGCTGGCTCAGAGCCCTGCCTGTCCTGGCCCCTAGGACTGTGCCCGGGGCACTGCCAACTGTGTGGTGTTCAGCTGCCCTCTATATAGCTTTGACCGCGCCGCTGTGCTGCATGTGTGGGGCCGCCTCTGGAACAGCACCTTCTTGGAGGTAAGAGCACTGTGGTGATGCTGGCTGGCATCTTCTTCCCCAGCAGGCCCTCTGGGGCTCACTGCCCTTCCTGCCTTCTCCCTGGCCGGATGCAGCCTGCTCTTAACCCGAGACAGGCAGAAATGCCCTCTGCATTGGGCGCCATTCCTTTTACAATTTCCGGAGTTGGGGCAGGGGGCATGAGGCATGTGGGAGAAGGCTGGCCTCCTCTGCTCCCTTAGGAGTACTCAGCTGTGAAGTCCCTGGAAGTGACTGTCCGAGCCAATATCACCGTGAAGTCATCTATCAAGAACTTGGTGCTTAGAGATGCCTCCACAGTGGTGAGCTGCAGGCCTGGGGAAGTTGGGGTGGGGAAGCTCTTCCTTCTCTTTGCTCCAGCTCTTGTTCCCCTAACCCTTCATTCCCCAGATCCCAGTGATGGTTTACCTGGACCCCGTGGCTGTGGTGGCAGAAGGAGTCCCCTGGTGGGTCATCCTCCTGGCTGTGCTGGCAGGACTACTGGTGCTGGCGCTGCTGGTGCTGCTCATGTGGAAGGTGAGGGTTTGGGAGGCGGGGCTGCCGGGGGCTGGGCCTCCCTGTCGGGCAGGTGGCCTTTCATGCTATGGTTCTCTTTTCCACCTGCTCTCTCATTTATTCAGCCCACTTGCACTGAACACTTGTATGTCCCAGGGACTCTGTCAGGCTCTGAATGTTTCAGAGAGAAGTCAGATACAGGTCTTGTCCTCAGGGACTTGGTAGTCTAGTGGGGGACATGAGCCTTGTGTAAGGACAAGGCAGTAGGCACGAAGGTAAGATCGTGCAGTGAGGGTTCAGAGGTGAGAAGCCATGACAGCAGGTGGCCAGCCCAGAAGAAGGTGGAGTCATGGGATCTGGATGTGGGAGACGAGGTGGGTGGGACCATGGGAGGCAGAGTCATGGAAGCAGGGAAGTGGGGTCTGATTTAGCGAGAGCATGGCAGGGAAGGCTGGGAAGGAAACTGTGACAGAGAAGACACAACAGCATGGAGACCAACCTCTACTTCTGGACTCAGAACCTCCACGTCCCAGGCTCTACATGGGCCCGTCTTCGTACACAAGAGTGTAGACAATCCCGTTTGGGTCTGGGGTTCCATGTAAAAGTGCACACGTGCACAGGTCAGTACAGGGACTCCCATCCACCACCAGTCATCACACCCTGAACCAAATGCCACATCTGGGCTACGGGGAACCATCCGGGCTTTGGGGCCTCGTGGAAAACTGCCCCTGGTCTTCCCTGGACCCGTCGCAGACCAAGCTCACTGTTTGGCGAATGTGAGTCATCAGTGGACCAGGCCTCGTGATGAACGTCCTAACTGTTGGGAGCCTGGCCAGTCTTTGGGGAGATTCATACCTTCGTGAAACTGGCTCCAGAATCCCTGCTCCTGGTTTCATGGAAGGGGGACAGAGTAGAGATGAGGGCCTCTGTGCTTCCTGAGTCTTCCCGTCCTCCACCTCTTTTGCTCCCCCCCTCCCTTGACATCCCAGTGTGGCTTCTTCCATCGGAGCAGTCAGAGCTCATCTTTTCCCACCAACTATCACCGGGCCCATCTGGCTGTGCAGCCCTCGGCCGTGGAAGCTGGGGGCCCAGGGACTGTGGGGTAATTGTGTGTGTGCATGTGTGTGCGTATGCATATGTTTGTGTGTGTGAGTGTGAGTGTGAGCACAGCCCCCAGCATTCAGGGGACCAAGAAATGAGATTGCACAAGGGTGGTGTGAGTTCTAGGAAAAGGGGCGGAAGGTAATTCTAAGGGTGAGATCCTAAGGGTGAGTATACCCAACCTGAGGCATGTCGGGAGGGGTGGCTGGGCTCATGCAGTATGAGCATGTGGGAGTGCGGCAGGGTGCCGTGCATGGCTTTTCTGTGGGCACGAGTGTGCAGAGAAAAACGTGCAAGGACATGCTGTGCAGTCTGAGCATGTGAGTCTCGGGGGAGCCTGAGTGTGAGTGTGCAAGGGGCACGTTTCCACCTTGGTGTGTAAAAGCCCGCATGTTCACGATGCAGGGAGCAGCTAGGCCACCATATTCATGGACAGGAGGGCATCGCCCCGGGGAGGATGCTGTTTGAGGACACAGGGTGTGTGTCTGAAGCTTGAGAGGAGTCATTCCGAGTATGCAGGGGTCTAGGGAGACCTCAGATCTCCTTTACATCTTGGGGCATGCTACTGGGTCTCATAAAAACTTGGGCGGGGACAGCGGTCCTGTTATTCCGTTTTCAACCCCCTTTCAGGAGCCAAGGGAGATGTCCTTGGTCCTGCACCTTTGGCCCCTCCTGGTCTCTCTCACTGTGAGCGAGGACCTGGGGGCCCAGCATTCACTGTGGCACCTGTGGGGGCCGTGCACCGCCCTGGGTGCGGTCCGACCCCGCGTCCCAGTCTGCGGCAGTTGGTGCTCTCCGTCCCACCGATGGTGGAGGCAAGGCGCTGAGCTGTGCTGGGCGTCTGCTCCAGGGGCCTCAGGCCTGCAGAGTCCTCATGCCTGGCCTGGGGTCCTTACAGATGGGATTCTTCAAGCGGGCACGGTACCCCGAGGCCACTGTGCCCCAGTACCACGCGGTGAAGATCCCGCGGGAAGACCGGCAGCAGTTCAAGGAGGAGAAGACAGGCACCATTCTGAGGAACAACTGGGGCAGCCCCTGCCGGGAGGGCCCCGATGCACACCCCATCCTGGCTGCAGATGGGCACCCTGAGCCAGGCTCCGATGGGCATCCCATGTCAAGCACTGCCTAGCTCGCTGTGTCCCCTCCACCCTTTCCTCGGACATGGCTCCTTGGGATGAAGATGGTAGAGTGGGTTGCTGGTGTCCCATCAGGATGAGGCATAGGTGTCTCCCTGCACCCTTACAAGGAGCGCCCCCCAACACTCCCCCTTAGAACACTGAGATGAGGGCAGTATATCAGGAAGGGGCTGTGGGACAGGGGAAGGGCAGAGATGTCCTGACGCAAAAGTGGGAGCAGGGACCTCGATTCCTCCCTCTCCATTTACCCCGTTTAACAGGGCCCCAAGGACTTGTCCCCCTGAAAGTGCCTTAAGCCCAGAGGGGTGGGGAGGAGGTTGTGTTGCTGACTCAGGGGCTCTTTCCTGTCTCTTCTGACCTTAGTTTGGTGCATCAATCTAGTGGATTTTGTCTATTTATTAAAAAATATTTCAGGACAAAACCTCTGGCTTCTTTGTTGAGTCCTGCTCCTCCTCGTCCAGGGTCCCCAGGAGACGGCTGCTTCTCTGCATCTCCAGGGCTCAGGGCAGAGGTGGTAGCGGGAGGGAGGGCTGGGGGCCAGCAGGGGTGCACATATCATGACTTTTGTGATGAGCTCCTGGAGGCACATGGATGTGGTCTCAGGCAAAGACGAGGGGGAGATTTACTAGGGGAACAAGGGAAAGTGACAGGGAACTGCTCTAGCAGTGGGTGGGCAAAAAGTGGGAGACCCAGCCTAGGAATTCGCAGTCAGGGATAGGACAGGATGTCACTTTCCTTCCTGCAGCCAGATCGGAAATAGAGCTTTTCCACCTTGGAAGGAAGGATTGAAGTGAGACCTGTGGCAGGGATAGGAGAAGGGAGAAGAGAGGGTGATGGGGAGCGTGGCTTCTCTGCCCGGATCCCTCTCAGTAGAAGACAGACTCCGCCGGTAGGCGGGATTGCTCGGCCCGAGGCTGGACTTGGGCAAGAGTTATTTCACAGCCTTCCCCATGATGTGGGGTCCAACAGGCAACCACTTGAAGGGAGGGGGTTGTTGTTCCATCTGGAGGTGAGAGAACTGGGCACTCTCGAGATCCTTCCAAGTCTCCCTGGTGAGGCAGCAGCCATCCCCGATGTGTTTCCAGGTGGGCTCTACAACTTGCTGCCACAGGAAGGCCCAGCTTCCACGTGGCTCAGCCACATGCTCCCAGAAAAGGAACAGTCCTCCCTGGCAGAGAAAAGAGAGTTAGTGTCACTTCTGAGCTCCATTTCGCGACCTTCCTCTCACCTCACCTGCAGCCCCCTGGTCGCGCCTGGTCAAACCTCTTAGGGAAGCAGGGGTTGCTGGTCTGCGGGTTTATGGAGCAAATCATTGTGCTCTGGACTTTTCCTGTGGCTCCTGGCTCTTATCCTCCCCCTCAGAAGCTGCCAGTGGGGATGGTGGCCAGAGGGCAGACAGACGGACACGGAGAGACAGGAGCAGAGGTCTTGCTGTATACGGAGGTGCCACCTTCAGACTCAGACGCGTTCATCCAACCTTATGCTTTGGCCAACGTCCCAGGGAAATCTTGCACCTGACTACTGATGGACTCAGCCCTTCTCTCCTTGCTGAACCCTCTCTAGAAGATCTCCTGCACCCTGGTGCTCTGAATCTACCGGCTACAAGCCGGTGACATCCAAATCTCTATGTGCAGGCAACATCTTTTTCTGACTTCTGGATCTGGGCCTCCAACTGCCTCTATGGCGTTTCTGCCGGCCTGTCTCGGTGGCATCTCAGACCTAACCAGGTCCCAGGCAGGTTTCTCTCATTTCAGCAAATGATACTTCCCTCTACCCTCCCACTTGCCCTCCACCAGTCACTCATGCCAGAAACCTGGAAACCATCCTAAACTTTCACACCCAGTTCAAAATCGTATGGATTCTATTTCCTCGAACATCTCCATCTAGAATGCTCTTACTTTCCCTGCTCCTCCACATTCTGCTTAATGTCTCAGGTCTCAATGTAAACATCACCTCCTTAGGTGTCCCTCCCCTCCACCCCCCCCCCCCGCATCAGGTGGCTTTCCTGTGTGCTTCCACGGCACCCTGGCACCCTGTCTGCCCCAGTGAGGTGCTGCTCGCTGCTCGCATTCGCCCCTCACCAGCAGAGGGGGGTGGAAAGTGCTAGGACACCGCATCCCCTACCCTGGAGTGGCCAGCTCTGCAGTCGCCTGCCCCTTGCCCATTCCCGCTCCGTCCTGCTCACCGGCCTCAGCACTCTCTTGACCTCCTGCAGGACCCTCCTCGGACTCTGCACAGAGCACAGCACCAGGGTGCTGACCACCACATCCATGGAGCTGTCAGCCACTTGTCTCATGTCCTCTCCGGAAGCCACCACAAACTGTTCATATTGGAGATGCCTGTTCTCAGCCATGCTCTTTGTCAAGAACTTCTCGAAGTGGGGGTTTGGGTCCAGGCAGGTGATCCTGCAGCCCGCCGGGTAAAACTGGAAGTTGGCCCCGGTGCCACAGCCCAGCTCCAGCAAGGCCACCTTCCCGGAGGCTCCCGTAAGCCTGTTTATCTGGCCAAAGAGCTCCTGTTTCTTACGCTCCATCTTGCGGTTGCCCTTGGCCGTCAGCACAGCCATTAGGTAGGGGAAGTAGGCTTTGCACAGGGGCTGCCAGCAGCCCAGCAGAGCCATCAGGTGCAGGGGCAGCGTCAGGAGCAGCAGCAGCAGCTGCAGCAAGCAGACCAGGGCATCCATGACCCGCTGACTCGAGGCGCTGGTTTTTTTTCTCCCTCCGGTGCTGCAGACAGTAGTCTCTTACCCCTGTGACGGGACTTTGTTCCCTGTGTTCTACTTGTCAATTTTCTCTTTGCCAGGGTGGGGAGAGTCTTTGCCAGGGTATGGAATCCGGCCAGAGGGCACAGGTCCTACAGCCCTGTAGTTTTATGTGGGGTAAAGGAACAGGTGGTGCCGATGTCCTGAGTTCTGGGGCACTGGCAGTTGAAGGTGGCAGTTGAAGATTTAGAGGGGAGAGGGGAGGGCGGAAGGGGGGACATGTCTCAGATCACAGCTTCACGGGGGCCAAATGGCAGATGGAGCTGACTCATGGGCATGTGCTGCCCTCATTCTGTCCCCAGGATCTGTTCAGGTTATGCAAGCTGGAAAATCTGGTTGGGTTCCCCTGGCACATCCCCAGGGCTCTGTAAACTGTAACATGCCTTTGCCTCAGATAGGAGCCAAGCACAGGGTATTCAGGGTAAGGCCTGATTGGCCAGAACAGGAGGGAGGTTGCAGGTCAAAAGAAAGCCATTTTCTCAACTGACTGGTGTTTGTTATCACATTCAAGACCGCAGTGCCCCAGCAATAGAAGAAACAAAGGGAGAAAGAGGCAGAGTGGAGAAGAACAAGGTAGCCCAGTTCCCACATCTAGCTCTGCCATTATAACTTGCTGTGTGCTTCTGTGGGCATCTTTTTTCCTTCCTGGTCTCCAGTTTCTCAACTGTAAAATGGGGAGATGCAGAGGTTGGATGGGCCTCCCATAGTTTCTAAGGTCTCCTCCTGCTTCCACATTTGTGTGATCTAAGGACAGTGGGGGAGCACCTGAAGCAGGCGGTGCTGGCTGTCCTCACAGCCCGGCCCAGTACTCCCCAGGCTTTGGCACCAGGCTGCCACGGAGGCAGGGGAGTCTCGGAGCCCAGACTGTGGGCTCACAGTCGTCTTAGCAGAAAGTCCTCAAATAATTAAACAGTGGCTTCTCTTTTGGCTGAAGCCTCCCTCAGAACCTTGGGGGAAGCTCCCCATAGGCAGTTCCGAAGGCTGCACACCAATTGTGTAGTGGCCAAGGGAATTTGTTTTTTTATTTATGTCATTTATTTTTTATTATTTATTTATTTATTTATTTATTTATAAAAAATACATTTATTTTTTATTGGTGTTTAACTTGTCAACATACAGAATAACACCCAGTGCTCATCCTGTCAAGTGCCCCCCTCAGTGCCCGACACCTAGTCACCCCCACCCCCCGCCCTCCTCCCCTTCCACCACCCCTAGTTCGCTTCCCAGAGTTAGGAGTCTTTCCTGTTCTGTCTCCCTCTCTTATTTTTTATCCTTTCTCCTTTTTTTAATTTTATTTACTTATGATAGTCAAAGAGAGAGAGAGAGAGAGAGAGAGAGAGAGAGGCAGAGACACAGGCAGAGGGAGAAGCAGGCTCCATGCAGGGAGCCCGACGTGGGATTCGATCCCTGGTCTCCAGGATCGCGCCCCGGGCCAAAGGCAGGCGCCAAACTGCTGCGCCACCCAGGGATCCCTCCTTTCTCCTTTATTACCTTTCATTATTTTTTATATTCCCCAAATGAATGAGACCATATTTTTTTTTAATTTTTATTTATTTATGATAGTCACACACACAGAGAGAGAGAGAGAGAGAGAGAGAGAGAGAGGCAGAGACACAGGCAGAGGGAGAAGCAGGCTCCATGCACTGGGAGCCCGACGTGGGATTCGATCCCAGGTCTCCAGGATCGCGCCCTGGGCCAAAGGCAGGCGCTAAACCGCTGCACCACCCAGGGATCCCTGAATGAGACCATATAATGTTTGTCCTTCTCCAACTGACTTACTTCACTCAGCATAATACCCTCCAGTTCCATCCACCTTGAAGCAAATGGTGGGTATTTGTCGTTTCTAATGGCTGAGGAATATTCCATTGTATACATAAACCACATCTTCTTTATCCATTCATCTTTCGATGGGCACCGAGGCTCCTTCCACAGTTTGGCTATTGTGGACATGGCTGCTAGAAACATCGGGGTGCAGGTGTCCCGGCATTTCATTGCATCTGAATCTTTGGGGTAAATCCCTAACAGTGCAATTGCTGGGTCGTAGGGCAGGTCTATTTTTAATTCTTTGAGGAACCTCCACACAGTTTTCCAGAGTGGCTGCACCAGTTCACATTCCCACCAACAGTGTAAGAGGGTTCCCTTTTCTCCGCATCCTCTCCAACATTTGTGGTTTCCTGCCTTGTTAATTTTCCCCATTCTCACTGGTGTGAGGTGGTATCTCATTGTGGTTTTGATTTGTATTTCCCTGATGGCAAGTGATGCAGAGCATTTTCTCATGTGCATGTTGGCCATGTCTATGTCTTCCTCTGTGAGATTTCTCTTCATGTCTTTTGCCCATTTCATGATTGGATTGTTTGTTTCTTTGGTGTTGAGTTTAAGAAGTTCTTTATAGATTTTGGAAACTAGCCCTTTATCTGATATGTTATTTGCAAATATCTTCTCCCATTCTGTAGGTTGTCTTTGAGTTTTGTTGACTGTATCCTTTGCTGTGCAAAAGCTTCTTATCTTGATGAAGTCCCAATAGTTCATTTTTGCTTTTGTTTCTTTTGCTTTCGTGGATGTATCTTGCAAGAAGTTACTGTGGCCAAGTTCAAAAAGGGTGTTGCCTGTGTTCTCCTCTAGGATTTTGATGGAGTCTTGTCTCACATTTAAATCTTTCATCCATTTTGAGTTTATCTTTGTGTATGGTGCAAGAGAGTGGTCTAGTTTCATTCTTCTGCATGTGGATGTCCAATTTTCCCAGCATCATTTATTGAAGAGACTGTCTTTCTTCCAGTGGATCGTCTTTCCTCCTTTGTCGAATATTAGTTGACCATAAAGTTCAGGGTCCATTTCTGGGCTCTCTATTCTGTTCCATTGGTCTATGTGTCTGTTTTTGTGCCAGTACCACACTGTCTTGATGACCACAGCTTTGTAGTACAACCTGAAATCTGGCATTGTGATGCCCCCAGCTATGGTTTTCTTTTTTAAAATTCCCCTGGCTATTCGGGGTCTTTTCTGATTCCACACAAATCTTAAAATAATTTGTTCTAAGTCTCTGAAGAAAGTCCATGGTATTTTGATAGGGATTGCATTGAACGTGTAAATTGCCCTGGGTAACATTGACATTTTCACAATATTAATTCTGCCAATCCATGAGCATGGAATATTTTTCCATCTCTTTGTGTCTTCCTCAATTTCTTTCAGAAGTGTTCTATAGTTTTTAGGGTATAGATCCTTTACCTCTTTGGTTAGGTTTATTCCTAGGTATCTTATGCTTTTGGGTGCAATTGTAAATGGGATTGACTCCTTGATTTCTCTTTCTTCAGTCTCATTGTTAGTGTATAGGAATGCCATTGATTTCTGGGCATTGATTTTGTATCCTGCCACGCTACCAAATTGCTGTATGAGTTCTAGCAACCTTGGGGTGGAGGCTTTTGGGTTTTCTATGTAGAGTGTCATGTCATCGGCGAAGAGGGAGAGTTTGACTTCTTCTTTGCCAATTTGAATGCCTTTAATGTCTTTTTGTTGTCTGATTGCTGAGGCTAGGACTTCCAATACTATGTGGAATAGCAGTGGTGAGAGTGGACATCCCTGTCTGGTTCCTGATCTTAGGGGAAAGGCTCCCAGTGCTTCCCCATTGAGAATGATATTTGCTGTGGGCTTTTCGTAGATAGCAGCCCAGTTTAGTGGAGAATGGGGTGAGCTGGAGAAGTGGTAGGAGGTGAGGTCAGTGAGTAGTCACTCCTTAGGGAAGGTTTCCTTTTGCTTTTAAAAGAATCATTAGAGTCATTTTTGGAAAAGGTAGTACATTCAAATGGCACAATATTTAAGGGGTACGAAGGGATTACAGAGAAAATTCTCTCTTCCACTTTAGTCTCTCTGGAGGCACTGAACATCACAATAGCCATTTCTTGGAATCTTTCTGGAGATGGAGATGCTTGATCTGTGAAATAGATTACACACCCACCACACATTTAGATACATACACACATGTGTGTATACACCTCCCCACCTTTAAAAAAGATTTTATTTATTTATTCATGAAAGACATAGAGAGAGAGGCAGAGACACAGGCAGAGGGAGAAGCAGGCTCCATGCAGGCCGCCTGACGTAGGACTCGATCCCGGGTCTCTAGGATCACGACCTGAGCTGAAGGTAGACGCTTGACTGCTGAGCCACCAGGTGGCCCCACATTCCCCTTTCTTTACACAAATGGTAGTACATTGTAAACACTCTTGAATACCTTGCTTTATTGGGTTTAGTAGATACTGCCCAAGAGTCTTCCAAAGTGGCTATTTCAATTTACACTTCTATTAGTAACATTTGCTGTTATGCATCTTTTATCCTCTCTCTATCATCTATTATCTATCTGTCTATCTATCTATCATCTATCTATCTATCATCTATCATCATCATCATCCTTGTCATCATCTATCAGCTATCTATCCATCTATCATCTATCTACCTACCTATCATCGCTCTTAATTCACTCATTCATTATTATTTTTAATGACTCACAGATTTCCTATCTTATTCAGTGGCTTGTAACCTAATACCCTATTTACATACAGTTTTATTGAGGCATAATCATGTATGAGAAGGCATACAGGGCAGCCCCTGTGGCGCAGCAGTTTAGCGCCACCTGCAGCGCGGGGTGTGATCTTGGAGACCTGGGATCGAATCCCGCATTGGGCTCCCAGCATGGGGCCTGCTCTTCTTTCTCTGCCTGTGTTCCTCGCCTCTCTTTCTCTCTATGAATAAATAAATAAAATCTTAAAAGAAGAAGGCATGCATAGTTACAGTGCATGACTAAATGGGTTTTGACATATGAATATATCTGTGAAACCATCACCGTACTCAACATAGTGGACTTGTCTACCAACCATGACAGTATCTTCACGTCTCTTTGCAATCCATCCTTCCCTCTTCCCTCCCTAGCATTGATCTGCCCTCTCACCATAAGTTAGTTCACATTTTCTAGAGTTTTTCCTTTTTGTGTTTTACTGTTGTAAGATACACATAACATAAAACTTACCATCTTAGCCATTTTAAGTGTACCATTCAGTGGTATTAAAAATATTCACACCGCTGTGCAACCATCGTTATCATCCTTCTCCATAACTCTTTTATCTTATAAAACTGAAAC